TGTCATCCATATAATCAAATCAACATGGCCTTATGGACAAGACAAAAATCTTGATCTGTGTCGGACGGATGTTTAAAGATGGCGGCATTTTAAAAAATGTTTAGACCTTAGCAACACTATAACTTTGAAATAAAATAAATTGTCCGACTCAAATCTTAATTTTGTTATACATTACATGTAAATAAGAGCAGCATTGTCATTGTGATCCTGACTGCTGTAAAGTCCTCTTAATAGATAGTTTAGTCTATGGGGAGTTAAACAACTGTATGAAATTCACTCAACTGTGAAAAAGAGGCGCAGCTTTGAAAACGCAAACACACTTCAAGTATGAATAATTTCCGACGACGAGACAATTTTTACTAATTGCTGACCTATAAAAATAATGCGTGTTTTGGATTATTTCGCAAAATTACACCTTAAACGCTCGAGGTCGAACTCATGTATAGAGTAGGGTCAATAAACTAGCTGGTAAATGATAGCTTCGTATGTTTAATATTCTTGTGTCTGGGAAAATATGTGTTTATGGATATTAGACACTTGATATAGATATTTGTTGAGAACTGATTTGCGGCAGACGTTTGATAGGACAATGCCGACTCAGAGTTTAAAAGCGGTGTTTAATTTTCCCATACAAACCATTTCTAAAGATTATATTAAGGTAAAGGTTGTTTGTGTTATTTTGTCCCGTTGGCACCTTTCACAGCTTATCAGTATTTTTTTTACTATCTTACCTTACTGAAGCGTTATTTGTGCTTGATTGATTGGTGACAAATATTTACTAGGTGTTTAATTTTCCCATATGCATGCATGTTATTTTGTCAAGATTATATCAAAGTTTCTTCTAAGTGTTTTTGTCCCTTTGACGCATTTCACAGCTTATCAGTATTTTTCAATCTTAACTTCCTGAAAGCGTATTTGTGCTTGGTGGATTGGCAAATATTTTTGTGCCGCTATGTTTATTTTTCCCATGTACATGCCTGTTTTTTTTTCTTTAAGATAATATCAAAATGATTTAAATTGTTTGTATTATTTTGTCCGTGTTGACGTCTCTGGCAATTAATCAATGTTTCGCAATGACATTTTAATTTTACTTGATTGATTGCCTATATTTGATAAGATTATGCCATTGTTGTAAACGGGACCAAGGGTATTTGTTATTGTATCCTAACTTGTTATCATCGTTGTCAATAAGCCTTTTATCTTGCACATTCTTAATTATTATGTTTTGCTGTTTCAGCACAAACGTCAGGAGATAACGATGCCCCTGGCTACTTCCCCGGCAACTGTACAAGGACGGATGCTATAAATAGTATCCAATCCCAGTACCTGACAGAGTTGCGCAATTCATCGTTCTCCCAAATCTGCACATCATGGCATGACCTGTGCTTGGAGGACAATGTAGAGGTTACTTGCAATAAGAACTGACCGAAACACTAAATAATTACATCAGGTAGCCAGTGTCAAAATTACAAGGCCATTGTAAGTAATCGGTCTGTAAGCCACACTTACATTTTATGGATGATATCCTCTGAAGACCCCCAAACTAGTGCGCGCAGGCGATTAAACAAACCAGCCAAAAACTGTAATTACAGGACTACAAATATGGTATTTGAGGTACTAGTGCGCGCGCGGATGTCATGCTTTAAATTGAATTAGCGTGGAATTAAGGTATGAGCTTATTAATTTGAATTATCATATGCACATGCCTAAAGTGAATTTTGAATATAAGACGCAAGACTATAATGTCGACATTTTTAAAAATCGAAGAAATGTAACAATTTGAGTTTCCATAGCCCGAAAATCCTTCTGACAGCCATCAACGTACCCTGCTGATAATACTTGCATCCATAATTCCTAACCTTTCTAAATCTATCAAGATTGTATTAGGCATATGCTTGTTACAATTGCATATAATATGTTCCAACTCTGCATCTTATTGAGGCTTTGTTTTTGGGGGTTTGGTAGAGTTAGCACATTTTAGTTGTTTGAAGCCCCTATTAGTTTAAGCTTGCTACTATATTGTACTTATATTGTACTTATAATAATGGTAAGTAGAGCATTCTAATTATATCTTAAGACAATTTGAAGTCATTGCTTGCTTTGAACAAGTCACAATACGGTGGAGGTTCATTCTGTAAACATTATACTTTGTGCAAATGTAATGCACATTTTAAAAAAGCACAGCAGTTTCTAAAAAGATCGTTTCTAACAAGTCAAAATACAATCTTAATTCCTGAATCTAAAGTAATTTGGGCATTAGCTGCCTTTTATATTATAACGGGGTCTTCTAGAACCCCTGTACAAATCAAGGTTATCTAACACATGCAGTTATATAGCCTAATACATTTTATAAATGTCCACATTTACTACATTAAATAAACCGATCATAACCAGTGACATATTTTTGTGATTGCTGTGATTCATTTACGCCTTCGTATGGATACTTACTGCTATTTTTTTTTTTATTTGTGCGCAAAATATACATGTTTATCTGTTGTGTACCAGTATTCCTTCCCAGACCTATTTTGAAATCACGCCTAGCAACAAATAGCGCGGTTACTCGACAGCAAAGAGCCACTTAAGTCTGCAAACATTGTTACGTCTCTGTTATGATAAAGCAAAGGTTAAATGTCACGCCTGCGTGAAAGGCAAATGTTTGAGTTTGTGATTAACTTTTTGCAGACCAGTGTATTAAATGACCCGAGTGACAAGTAGATTAAACGTTAGGGGAATGTGACCTGTTCGCAGTTCTTGTGTTGTTTTCTAACGGACCGCAAGATGAAGACCGTCTTGGCGTTTATCGTTGTCGTCAACATCTTTTGCCATCATGTATCAGAAAGTGCATTTTTCGACAGCATTTTTCTCAACCCAGGACGACAGCAGGTGATTTTTTTTGCTATTAAACACTCGATTTACATTAATAATTTTGCAATGTAGACATGTTGCTACCATAGTCAATGACATCTTAAGTACTTAGAATCTAAAACAATTGAACTTTTAAATCAGAATGTCTAACGTTTATAGTGCGAAGGCTATCAAGATTTTACTCTTAGATTTTGAATACCATAAAAAGACTCCAGCTTTTGTAAAGCTTTGTTTAGTTAAATGCAGACAATTTCTAAGCACCTCTTGTTTATAAAATTTTTTAAGACTTCTTGTTCATAAAAAAGAAATGAACACCAGGGTGCAGGGGCTGAAAATAGATAAAGTATAATTTCCAATGTTAACTTTCCTTTTCTGCTATGCCGCACAGCTTTTTGCTTCAATGACGTTTATGTATTTTTAGAAACTGGTGACTATCGTCGATAAGGACCGAGAGATTTGTGTCGTCGTGCCCAGGCAGAACACGCTAAAGGTGAGGAGAATTAATGAGCATTGGTAGTTATGCTATTAGCACTTCACATTCACTTTGTCCCATCCTCGTCTGGAGGGTCGGTGGCATTGTTAGCATCCAGCACAAGTTTCCTTCACCGCTCTCTTCCCTTGTCCATCTGCATGTAGTATGGCATATGCATAATTCTATTAGGAAAAGTGCAAAAATATTGTGTTACAGTTTATTTAGGTAATATATAGCGAGCTGCTGCCGCGCTGCATAAATATGGGAAGCTGGAATGCTGCGCCGCTGGGTTAGTTATTTAAAACAAAAGCTAGTGTAATTATTTCAATATTTCGATCTGGAACGCCGCTTAAATTTAACACATGCTACACAACAGTAGCGTAGAGAACAAAATTTAAATAATCACATTTAGGTATACTTAACAAAAAAAAACATTTGCAAACATTTAACATTTTTTATTAGTTTTTTAACGCAAGTTTGATGATCAAGATTTTAAAATGATTAACTTAACTTTTCATATTACTCGTTTCTATTTTTATCATACTAGTATTATCTGCTCGTTTCTATTTATTTATCATACCTTACATGCAAAATGACTTTAAACACTTATTTAGCCAAAAGACGAACATGCTATGGCAAACAAATGCAAAAAAAAATTACTACTGCTGCATTACCGCTTTCTTCCTTCTTTCGGCTACTGTGAGTTTAGTATATTCATACCTTTACGTCTTTCTATACCTAGGTACCTAAGTATGACAATATGTGTGCGCCGTATGTAGATTGTTTAGAAAGTTAAGGGACCGACATCCCTAAAGGTTTACCTTGCAGTCACCGTTGAAAAGTCAGGGGAAAAAATCTAAAAAAAAGGTATTGGTGGTGAGCAGCCGCCAAGCCCTAACGAAATGGAATTCGGTTAGCAAGCGAACTCGGATACGTCGGCCTAAGATCCGTCGCTAAAGACTAAGTCACAATTCAAAATCGGAGCCCGCGCGGGCCTGATTTTTTTCCATTTTTATAAAGACCTAGTCGAAGACCGACGGGCTTCCTAAAGGCTTTCGGACTATTTTTGACCCGTCACCTGTCACTTGCGTTACAATCTCTACCGCCGGGATTTCTTTGACAGCAGTCGCAAAATTTTTATTCTTTTAGTCCGATATTCTTCCTTTTTTAAGAATTTTCTTTTGTCACATTTTTCTTTTTAAAACTATAGAAAATTCATAGTACCCAATTTAAACTTGGATACGGAGATTCCATAAATTAGCTTTTCTCTAAATTCCCAACATATTTTCTAAGATTTAGCCCAGGTCCTGAAATTTTGCTAAATAAAGATAGTGCATTTGATGCAATGTGTACGGACTTTTTATTTCTTAAAAACATTGTCGTATTATCCGGTTTCAACATTTCTTATGCTGTCACCATCTGTAATTTTGTTAATCATTTCTTCTTTACTTTGATTTATATATAACGCCAATATTTCCATTATGAAAACAAATAAACATTGGTAGAGAGGCAATATATAAAATAATGTATAACCCCATCCTCAAAAGAATTTTTAGGCACTTGGAATGGGCACTCCCAACCACGAGGACAGACAGCACTTAAGCTCCTTTTCTAAAACATCAGGAGCTTTTTTTCCTTGTATCATCTTGATTCACCCGCTCCATATATCTCCCAAACAAGATTTTGAAATAGCGAAGTTCGTAAGGATTTCTTGCCTAGCCTCGGACACAAATGCCGGACGTAGAAAAAGTTTTACATGCATTTAAAGTTTAAGGTCGTGTCTGCGTGCTCCCAAATCCGTGGGATTCCGTACGGAGGCGGTACTCACCACGTACGAATGCCCTACGATTGCCTACGTTTTTGCACGTAGACAGCACGTACGGCGGGTTGTGACCGAAGTTTTATGTACGGTACGTACGGGGCACGCGCGTCGCTCGTACTCTCACGTACGGGTGGTGATCATGAATCCGCAGACCGCACGCAGAAAAAGTTAAGCTACGGTCACAATCCACCGTACGTGCTTCTGCGTGCTGTCTACGTGCAAAACCTGGGCAAACTTAGGGCATCCGTGTGTGGTGAGTACCACCTCCGTACGGAATCCTACGGATTTGGGAGCACGCAGACACGCCGTAGAACTTTAAATGCATGTAAAACTTTTTCTACGTGCGGTCTGCGGATTCACCACCTGTGCGTGCGAGTACGAGCGACGCGCGTGCCCAGTACGTGCCGTGCGGAAGAAGCACGTGTGAGTACGGCCTCCTTACGGTAAAGTTGCAATCGCACAGAGATCGTACGTTGTAAGCACGCACAACTCACTTACCACTTGCGCAACGTACGATGCGCGCAACCGCTTTTAGCCAGACTTGGCGTGCAGACCCCGTGCGAGTGACGTGCGTAGACGCCACTCCTTCCCCACGTTTTCATAAAAAAGCGTAGCAGACGTAGCCTCCCAAGAAACGTACGGACAAAAAGCACGTACGGCGGGTTGTGACCGAAGCTTTAAACATGCACTTAAAGTTCTACGGCGTGTCTGCGTGCTTCCAAAACCGTAGGATTCCGTACGGAGGCGGTACTCACCACGCACGGATGCCCTGCGTTTGCCCACGATCGAAGACAGCACACAGAACTTCAGAAGCACGTACGGCGGGTTGTGACCAAGGCTTTGGGGAAGACGGGTTCCATACCAGTTGTGGTGTCATAGTTATCGAATTTAATATTGTTTTAAGTCCTATTCGATATCATGAAAGGTATGACGTGTTCATTATAGCAATGTTACTTATAATAACGTAGGAGGTATTTTTCTTAATTTGTAATCGAGCTGAGAACTTTAAGGACAGGGCCACTAAAATATTAATATTTCTACCTAAAGCTACGGTCACAACCCGCCGTACGTGCTTCTGCGTGCTGTCTGCGTGCATAAACCTGGGCAAACGCAGGGCATCCGTGCGTGGTGAGTACCACCTCCGTACGGAATCCTACGGATCTGGGAGCACGCAGACACGCCGTAGAACTTTAAGTGCACGTAAAACTTTTTCTACGTGCGGTCTGCGGATTCACCACCCGTGCGTGCGAGTACGAGCGACGCGCGTGCCCCGTACGTGCCGTGCGGAAGAAGCACGTGCGAGTACGGCTCCTTACGGTAAAGTTACAATCGCACAGAGGTCGTACGTTGTAAATATGTACAACTCACGTACCACTTGCACAACGTACGATGCACTCAACCGTTCACGGCCAGACTTGGCGTGCAGACCACACTCCTACACCTTGCGACTGACGTGCGTAGACGCCACTCCTTCCCCACGTTTTCAGAAAAAACGTAGCAGACGTAGCCTCCCAAAAAACGTACGGAGAAAAAGCACGTACGGCGGGTTGTGACGGCAGCTTAATGGTTTCAATACGCCTGTCTGACGGTAACGTTATTTTACAGCTGGTGGTAAAACTGTCACAGTCCGATTGATTCCTTATAAGCAGGTGGCAGGTGACAATGGTATGCATGCGGCGGTTTAGCTAGTGTACATAATCCACATCGATGTTTAAACAGTCAATAGACAAAGTCCAACGGTCTCCGAAATAAAGTGTCACAGTCCTTGCCACCCCTGCTTCCTGATTAGCTGCCTGCTGTGTCAGCAGGAACAGACACAAATAAAAAAAGAGCAGCTCTTCTTCAAGACATGAAATACGTATAAAACAAGATTATAAATCACTGAGTCATCATTTTGTCACTAACAGTACTGGTTATGCTTAGGTCACAATTCAAGAAAGGGGCCCGCTCGGCGCGTGTTCGGCGTGTTTTTTTGGCACTACCGAACGGGACCTGGACGGAGACCGGCGGGCTTCCCGACGGCTGCCGGCCTATTTTTGGCCCCGCGCGGTCGCCGAATCGATTTTAACTCAGAGTTAAAAACACTTCGGGCCCCGTTCGGCGAAATACGCCGAAGCGACGCCGTAACCTCACTGCCCGGGACCCGTCGGGCGGCCGAACAGGCACCTGCCTAAGATTATGACATCACATGTGCTGATCAGTGCATCAGATGGACAGGAAAAGGGGGTTATAGGGAGCATATATAAACTCCTGCCTCAGACTACGTCGCACAGTTCACCACGTGTGTGTTACACCGTGTACTTGTGTGTTACACCTTGTATTTGTGTGTCAGAATGTCGAAGGGCAAGGGAAAACAGCCGGCACGGCTCTCTTGCCAACATCATAAAACAGATCATAACAGGAATAGAATGTGTCTCACATTATCTCTTGTTACATCATATGCCTTCGTAATAAAATGGAATCAGAAGTTATTGGCATTTATTTTCAGTCCAAATTTCAACAGAAGTAACGATATTTAGTGGTTTTATTGCTCAATAGCAAGGAGCTGCCACGGCACACTTCCTGCGTCACTGCTGAAGTACTTCCTGCGTCACTGTTGAAGTACTTTCGAAAGTAGGCCCTCGGTTACTTTTGCGACGCACCAGTTCTGCCTGCCTCTCTTCTTCAGCTACCAATGCCAAAAGACCTACATGTAGGTTGTCACCAATCTCAATCTCAGACGGGCTTGTAAGTTGTTTGCAGGTTGCACTGAACGCTGCATCGCCAACTTCAGTCTACTTTTTACTTGACGTGTACTCTTTACTTGAAGTGAACGGTAGCAGGCAGTGCAGCGCTTATATATGTACCTGCTCAAAAACACGAGAGGAGCCCGTCGGGATCCCGCCAGGGACCTGACAGCTGCCCGGCCGAACAGTAAGAGCCGGTCGGCACCCTACCACACGCCGCACGGGTCAAGACGGGCGACTGACCGGGCACCGGACGGGTCCCTGACAGAAACCGGCCGCAAAAGTTTATGAATATTAATGAGAGCCGCCGGCCGGATCACAAGCAGGCCCCGACAGGGAGCCGTAAAGGAACATTTAATTGTGACCCTGACAGTATGGCGCACGCTCGGCGTCATGACGCCGGCCGGCGTCTACGCCGAGGACATGCCGAACGGGCGCCGTTTCAAATGTGACCTAAGCATAAGTTAAAAATGTTACGCCCGAAAAAAAAGCGTCATGGCAAATCGGCATTGTCTAGGAAAAATGGTGTCATTTGTCTACAAAACTACTGACATGGTTTTGGAAGATTTATGACACACCTACATGTTTACACGAAATGTTTACAAAGTACACAAAACGAAATTAACTTTAACAGGCAAATCGTCGTTAAAAATGTACAGGGGTTTAAAACTTACAGGTGACGCGCAGCACATAAAAAGGTGTCCAGTATTTGTTTACACATCTATCAAATTGGTTTTAAAAGATATCTGATCAGCAAATTGAAAAAAAAAATACACAATGCCGACGAAAAGTTACAAGTACCAGTGGTTTAAAAAGTTCCTGGTGCTAATGGTGTAGATTAACAGCAGTTCTTGGAAAATGTGCAGGAGTTTAAAACTATAGACTAGTTAAGCCCTAAACAAAATGGCGTCCTTTGTTTACAAATCTAGCAACATGGTTTTACAAAATCTCAAAACGTGGGAAAAATTTCAAAACCAATGACAATACCGGCGGAAAGTCACTAGTACTAATGATTTTAGAAAGTTACTGGAACTAATAAGTAGCCATTATTTCCTTATATAAGTCGTAGGAAAAATGTTGTGAAAAAAGGAACTTGCCTAAATGTACACCCGCGCCTTGTCTACCACTCTACGGATGGACTCAGTCTTGTTGGCAATGCTATCCATTGCTCCTATAGCATTGCTACCAGCACCCAGTTGACATGTAGCGGCTTCAGTGTGGGCAGCTTCAAGTTCACGGTTATGGCCTCTTAGTAGCGGCCTTTCCTGCGCTCGGCGGTAAAGCTGTCAGCATAGTAGGAGGCACATGTCTGCTTTATAATTGGTTTCCTCTTCAGTAGTTTGTTGATGGCTTTTTCGCAGTCCAGTGGCTGCAGCTTGTAAGTTCAGCTCGCTGGCACAAACACCGCAATGATGTTGTGCTCCTTTAGCTTATGCAGAAGTGCAGGGCTCCGGTGGGCCTTAAACACATCAAAGATGGCGAGCCCGGGCTGTTTGTCGTCAAGTCAAAGGTTTCCCTCTACGCTGCCGTGTACAGAATTTATTTTGCCAGTGTACCGTTGCATGGTGTCTGCCTTCGACCAGTGACCCTCGCTGTAATAGATGTCCCATTCTTTGGAAAGCTGAACTTTGGGTGGCAGGCATCGGTCTTTTCTTGGTAAAAAAATAGTCGCACTTAAGTCCGGCATATGTGACTGTTAACTATTAGTGCCACGTCCTTCTATCGATATTCTAGTTAACGATTAGTCATTTCAACTTAAGTAGGACGTGACGTTTCCACAGTACACTGGTGACTATGAAGCGACACCTAGCGGACTTCGTATGCGGCGGAAACAGAGACATGGGTCCCATTTCTAATTCAAACACATGTCGCAAGGTGTCGCTCGTTCATAGTCACCAGTGCATTGTGTGTCAAGTCACGTCCTACATTTCAGGCGTTCCCGGATCAGACTTGTTTTTTTTGGGGGGGGGGGGGGGTCCGATCAAACGTAGATCGCACGCAATAAAAGCTCCGGCTGGCAACCCTGCATGTTCCACGGAGATATATGTAGGGTTGCCAAAAATCATTTCATCTTTAAAAATATATTCTTTCTAACGTGAACATCATTTTATGAGATTTCATATATAGACGAGATATACGACCATATCATTACATAAGATATATACGGTTTGCTTTCCTTTATTTTGTTCCATTACGACTTTTTGGACGTCTTTAGTAGTTCATTCTCACTGCACTGAATTTCTAGGTCATATTTTTGAAGCGTAAAAACTTTTTTACTTGTACTAAAGGTGTTTAGGTACTTAAGCAGTTAGCATATGTAGATTCGTATTGATCCAGGGAAAATACATTAACCCTATCTAGACCGGGCTTTTTTCGGCTTGGTGGGACCGGGAACGGTATATCGTAGGACCACTAAATTTTTAGAGGATGATGTACTAGTAAAAATTTATCATACGTTGAATTTTGATGTCGTTGTGACGTAAATTAATGTGATTTTATTGGCCAAAACCGTCTAGATAGGCTATTCCCCGAAAACTAAACGGTATACGACATAACTTTACCAAACGTGTTTATGACAGAATATTAGGGTGTACTAAGTCTTATGTTGCCCATAGCAACACCGTTGACGTCATAAAATGACGTTATGCATATATTACCTATCCGCCATCTTGGATCATCAATCTTTGAATTTTGAAAAAAAAAATTTTTTCGGGATAGAGCCTAAAATACATTGTAAACAGACTAAAGACGTTCATATGAACCTTTATTGTAAAAAAATGGGAGTATTGATGAAATTGTAAGGAAAATAAGCTGTATTTACCTGATCTAATGATATGGTCAGCCATCTTGGATTTTGGCCAAGGACATCATCAAATTAGCATAAATTATGCATTTTTAATGATAAAATTTGCATATAATTATATGAGATGTTATTAATATTAGAAACCATGAGTAACTTGACATAAAACCCATAATATTCTGTTGTTGAAACGGAAATTATCAAATTTAGCAAAAATGCCTGTCAGAAACCCGGTGCCATGGCAACAAGAAAAATCATAATCTTATTCCACTGATACAGATTTGTTGCCAACAATTTTTTATGAAAAGTCACTAAGTTTGGCGGTTCTAGCTCTAGCCGTTTAGACGCTATGTGACATCAAAGTTGGCGCGGGCACTTTTAACCCCCCCCCCCCGTCTAGATAGGGGTAAGAGGCAAGCAGGTTTTTTAAAGCTAAATGGAGAAATGGACATTTAAGCAGATTAATACGGATTTTGCAGGCCCCAAAACATATTCAGTACAAATATTGCATCTATTAACTTTTCACAATGTAAAACAAAGGAAAAATTAAGATATTATCTTTGAATTTTTCCATTAAAGCGCTAACAACAAAGATGACGAAACTACTTTGAATGTTCGTGAATCGTTATGGAATAACACAGAGATTATTAACACACACATACAGACACAAATACACTTGTACAAAGAGACATAAATATATATCGCAAACGGAGACAAAAGCACATTGCAAATACACATATTTTCTCATTTTTTTACAGGGGAAGGAACGCTACACAGATTCCAATATTAAAGCATACGCCGTTTTCCCCGGCCGTCACAATAATGCATTTTCACCGCTGTTGTTAGAGCCAGCATGCCGAACATACGATATTGCCATTGGACTATATCCCGCTGACTTTGTCTTTCTCAAGCGTAAGTAATAAGATATTTGTTGATTGATTGTGTTAGGTAATACATTCCTTAATTATGATAACTAATAAATGGAAGTGAAACAAATGGACAGCAGCCCCAATTTAGGTCTCTATAAACGAGTGAAATATTTCAGGTTTAATTTTATATTGGTAAAAAGACAGGAAACACTACAGGGAAATGTCGAAAAAGACTGTCAAATAAGCCCGAAATACAGACATGCATTCCTAGTGTCGTTTCACTATTACTTGAGTTGAAATGATCGTGTGATAATCGAGAAAATTTACACGATTATCACAAGATCTATGACCAAAATATATGATTGAGTTTTTAGAATTTGTTATTCATTGTAGTAAAATGACAACTGTTTTCTGTATCATCTGTTAAGCTTCTTTTTGAGGTTTTAACTCATGAATTTTTTTACCCATTGCCACAAGTGCATCTTTGTTCTTATAACAACTTTATCTCTAACTCATTATAAATTGATGTGATTAACTAAAAGCTCATTACCGTTGTGTAAGGACACATTTAACTTAAATTTATGGATGTTATCCTATAATACTCCCAAACTAGTTTGTCCGGGCGAAAGAGAAATATCCAGCCTCCCGAAAATGCAAGTAAACCACAGGAATACAAAGTTGGCATTGTAAAATTTGGGAAGAACATAGAGACTTTTACGACAAATGAGTCTGATTTCTTGAGTTCCGTGGAGCTTCGAAAGCCTGCTGGGTGCTATCCCCATAGTTACCGCCGGCCTCCTACTGTCGCTGGCTACCGTGGACTACAGAGGATAGAACCGACGCCAGAACCTCGGAGTTTTTGTTTAGAACAGGCGACAATCAATGCGCGCGCGGATGTCATCCATAAAATTAAGTCGGTGTGGCCTATTTTGTAATCATAGTACCAATTTTACTTCAATCGTGAAGCTAGCACAATAATGTATAAACTTTCAATACAATTTCAGACACAATCTTCATGAATCGGAGTCCTCCTTCCTTCTGCATGTTTTCAACAGATGAGATCTCCAGGTTCACAGAAGAATTTTGGTGTGATGACACTGCTATTGACAGGACTCTTGCTAATACCATAGGTACATTAAATGCATCACTTAATTGTTAATCCTGCCTTCAAGTTTATAGCAATGCTATGTTTAATTTATATACAAGTAAGTAAAAACACACTTTGAACAAGAAAAAATTCAATATAAAAAATCTATACTTTAAAGGCTTCAGAGTCCAAATGCTCAAAGCTGCAAAATCATGATTGATACAATAAATGCATTATCTATGTCATTGTTTTTGTTGTCCTATCTAGCTAGCAATACACCGGATGCACGATCCAACCCGTTTGGAGCTATAACAGCACTATTACCTCCAATGATTTCCACTCCATTAAATATCATTGGAGGATTCTTGGAAGGTTTGTTTGGCCTTTTTTCTGGACCATCTGAACAGGAAATTCCACAAGGTATGTATCAACGAATCCAACACGTTTTAACGTCAAATTAAAACTAGAGTTATTAATTAGTAGAAAAGAGCAAAATATAATATAATATATAGCTATTTAATGATTCCAAATGGTGCCAATGGCTTAATTGATATTCTATTTGGTTTCAGTTACTGCTTTTACATATTTTCGATTCTAGCTAAAACAGCCTATTTTATTTAGAATCGAAAAAAAAATGTTCAAACCGACCGGCTTTTGTCCTGGACAAGAACGATAAGGAAGTGCTCCCACTGTGACCTTCCCAGCAGATTGAATAGTGACTTGGCCAATAAACTCATAAAAACCCTGGACAGTCTATCCTTCAGAACAAAGGTAGCAGATTTGCATACTGGTCAGTTTTCAAAAAATCATTTTTTTTATTATCTTACGGGTTTTCAGTGTAACATTTTACAAAGGCAGATAGTTGTTATAAAGCTACATAAGCAAGAAACTTGCAACTTTCATTTTGGAAAATCAACTTTGATCATATCCCAACTTCCCAATCAGCCCTGTAAAAGTTTTATAAAAGGACATATATGGTGCCCAGAGAATATAATGCTCTTGCTGTATCAAAGTGTCTACTTGTACATGTATCCGTGATTGCAACTTGAAATGTCTTTCTCACAACTGCATTGCCTTTGGCAGTTTTGTGTCTGACATATGGCTTGTAAATGTGATGTCTACTTGCAGTCAGATACTCGTACACCAGTGTGGACAGCTCTGTATTTAGAACTTGGCATGTAACTGCCAACCAAGGTCTCAAGCAACAAGCCAGCACATGGCATGTCAGAGCTGTCATTACTACATGTAGTATACTTTGTATTCTGGGTTACTACTGCATATAACTTCTTATATGTATGTGTGTCTTATTTCAAAGTGTCTTGAAGAGAAATGTATGCTTGACAAGCTAAACTGTCTTAGACATGCCTCCCCCCATGTACACTGCACGGCTGCCAGGACAAGACTGAAGTCTGGTAGTTTATGTTATAGAATTTATATCGGCAGGGTGGGGTCATTATATAGTATTACTGGCCTCTTTAACGTCCATATTTATTCTCAGATAAAACTCCACCAATATTGAGCTGTCCGTATGTTCCGGACTTCACAATTCCTCGAGGACAGACAACCGTCCGCGTGAACATACCAAGGCCTACGTACTCAGATAACCAAGATGGAGCCGGGGATTGCCAGTATGTTTTTGCATGAGTTATTTCACTTACATAATTTAAAACACCCTTCCCTTAATTTGTAAAACAATCAGGGCAGCTAAAAACATCAGATTGGAAGTTTATCTATATTTGTTCAATCCTGATTCTAAACAAGAGTTCTACAAAGTCAAAAATTCACCTAATAATTTCAAACTTTGAGAATGACGCAGTAATGAGGGTTCTCAATGATTATGCACATGGGATCCTTTAAGGATACATTATCTAAATGGTAATCTTCTCTACTGTTATTTATTGATATTTTATTTATTCTTATAATACTCACCCAACTGAGAAAAGAACACGAAGTTTATGCCATGCGCCACCTGAAAGTAAAATATCTTTTAAAAATTTTGCAAATACAACTTCAAGTACAAAGTCCTATTATTTAACGCGTTTATTTTTGGGACTCAATTGTTGATCATGCAAATTATCTCCATATATTCATATTTACCTTCGGATTTTGAAAATCATTAGAAACCATAACAAAGAATCATGACACTTCGTTCACCCTTTTCAAGTTATACTCCCCAAAGTTAAATTCGCAAAGGAAATGGATCCCTGAATTAAAAAAAAAGCTTTTATATTGTGAAACTACAAAGATGTATATAAAACAAGTTTGTTGATTAAGTAAATACCATGGCAACCTTTATATTCGAAAGGCCTATGTCACTATTTAGAACCGAGATGTCTTGCAAAACTATTAAACAAACGTATACACCAACGAACAATCATCTATCTTGCTTGTAATGTAACTCTATAGCTAGAAATTTAAGGCACACACCTAATATTTATCCTTACATTGTTGCCAGTAATATATTTCGGTTTCCTCCATTGTTCACAACACTATTTATTTGCTGGCTAAGTTAAGGTGCAAAGGCTGCTTCTACGCCGGCGTTGGTTCTTCCTGGCTTTAATATAAACCACTATGTGAAAGTTCTTATCCAATGGCAGCCACAAAAAGCAATAGGACTATGGATAAAGCCCAAAGGAATATCGTACCAGCAAACAGTTTCTACCAGGTTATGTTTGGTTGACTGTTTTCTTTTGTGTGTCGTCCACTGTTACAGTATTTTATTTTCATAAGTCCCAAATGTTTGTCATTCTGCAGACTGACTGAATCACCAACATTGGATGGCCAGAGGTTGTCGGCAGGATCGTACGACGTATCCTTTCAAGTTTATGACAGCTCGGGGAATCCATCTGATACATGCACGATACGATTTGAAGTTAAAGGTATGTTAAAGTTTATTTATGTATATTGTAACATTTTTGCTCAGTTCTCAAACTTACTATGCTATAATCATATAAGATATTGAATTTGATAAATAACGATGTAATTTTAGCTAAGCATCCAGTTATTGAAATATTATAACCATACACATTTTCACTTAGGCGGTGAATGACGAGTGACTATTGAACTTTTATCAGTAGTTGAAGATTTTTTTCTTTATTTTTGTTGTTCATTCATTCTTTATTTCAGGTAAAAAAAACATATAACACAGTACATCATTAAAATAATACAAAACTCTAAAGATACTACATACAAATAAAACAGAAAGAAACCTAGATGCATAATAAATTGAAGTCTTTTGGAAGAAAGAGTTGATAAGACACTGATTATTGCGTTGTGGGAGGAAAGTAATCGTTTTAAAAAAGAGTAACAAATCCTCCTCCGCCTAGCTTCAAATGTGTCAGTATAGTGGTAAACAAATATCTTACTCGCACTACATCGCCGAGGTAAATTCATAAAACTTCTAAAGCAATTGTTGTAAGCAACATTTAGACAGAACATCTGAGCTTCTGAGCTTACAGAGCTCCATAACTGGGCGCCATATAGCTGGGCGCAATACGTCATAAACAGGTGTCTCTTAACAGATGGAGAGCAACAGACCTGAGAATGTCTGTCTCCATATTTAAAAATAAAGTTTTTGATATCCTGTTTGTAACATTAAAATAAAATGAAACATTTTCATCTCCTAATACGGAGACATATGCAATAAATATAATGTTCTGTGCTACTGATGTACCAGTAAGAAATCATTATATTTCAATTTCTTTGACCAATTCATATTAACCCTAAACAGTACACATGGGGTCCGCGCGGACCCCAGCACTATATATTCTGTAATATCTTTTTTGTTTCTAAAGATTTTTTCTGAAATTTAAGGTAATTGTCACCCACAAAGTTGTCCCTCAAAACAGTGCAGAAAACTCCGTTTCTACCATTGATAAAAAAAATTATATCTGATTTTCTTTTGGGGTCCGCGCGGACCCCAGCCGGCTTTCGATCATAATGGATACACTGGCGTTCTTATACATTACCTTTTTTTCCGTTCTTATATGTTTTTATGCACTCATCGTATGTCTACCAAGTTTTCAGAGAACGGTGTACTAATAGAATTAAATTTTAATAACTTTGGTGTAATTATGACGTCATATGACGTCATAGCTAATAATATAGTCCGCCATATTGGATTTTGACCAATGACGTCATTAAATTAGCATATTCTATGCAAATTAGATAATTTAACTTATATTTAATTATGTAAGATGTTATTAATGTTGGAAAAATGTGTAATTTAATATAAAACTTAGAAAATTTTTATGTTTAAACCAAAATTACTTCTATTTTCAAAAAAACTGCCTGCTAGAAACCCGTTGCCATGGCAACCCAAAAAAACATCAACTTACTAATATTCAACTAATATGACCTTTTTTCCAGAGACATTTTAGGAAAGGTCTCCAAATTTGATACTTCTAGCGCAAGCCGTTTAGCCGCTATCTGAGATCAAAGTTGGGCCTCAAAAGCCCCTTCAGTCTGAAATGGGTTTAAAAATCGGGTATTTCTTCTTGTCTTCTTTTTTTCACCAAAAAATAGAAAAAGTTCAAAATGTATGATTTTTGTATGTAATGTGGACACAGAGGTTCCCACATCAGTTTGCAAAACAATTGCGCTGGTAGCATGTTGATGATTTCTAAAAATTAGCAAAAAACTGTTCTGGGGTCCGGGAAGGTGTACTGTTGAGGGTTAAACAGGAAATCTTATGATGCAAATTGCAAATTAAAACGGAAGAAGTATTAGAAATCTTAAAATTAGGGGACGACGCGTCTCTACGTGGCGCCAATCATAACCCAGGGAGAGGGAACCGGCGCCCGACCGTCAAAGTGAACAATTTAAATTACACAACCTCATTTCTTCGTCAAATATTGTTAACCTTTATATTTGTCTCATTGATAATCATTGACATGAATGATATTAGCTATCAATATTCTCCACCCAATGACAATCTTATTTTAAACAAAGAAAGTTATTCTAGCATTTCCTTGTAAATTATGCAAATGAGATCCCGATTAGAATTAATAATGCTTGATATTTCTGTTCACTTTACTTTTAAATATCGGAAATATGAAATTCTCGCCACTTTTTCCTGTTAGCAAAAGAGCTATACCTACCTATAACAATCTTGACGCTGGCTTGCCTAGATTACGAAATATGAAACCCGGTAGTTCCGCTGCAGTACCATAAGAAACCACCAAAAGTTCCAATAGCTTAGTAACTCATTCCAAACTCTCATCTAGACCCATCCACCTACCAAATATCAAGATAATATATTCAAGTCAGTTAAAGAAACACTGACAACCTTTGGACCATTGACGTCTTGCCAGACGATCTACAGCTATAGTCGTTCTCTGCGGGTCTGGATGGGCAACGCCTCTCATGGCTGGTACAGTCGATTCTGGCCCGGCAGGCTCTGCCGCAGAATCGGCATCAGTACTCCCGTGTGGTGCTCTTCTCTACAAGTCCCTTTCGTCTGCTCCTAGCATCTGCCTTCCTGCTCTCTCTAGCAGCTTTGAACAGTTCTGTCCTTTTGTTTATCGAACAAACAGGCAGAACACGCGCCGAGCGGGCCCCTTTCTTGAATTATGACCTAGGCTTTCCCTGTTGAGGGTGGGGTTGTACATTCTTTCATATATTGCCTCTTTAACACCCCGTTCCCACCAGCGTGTTTCTAAGATATCCTTGGATTCGAGTTTAAAAGAGTGACCCTGGTTGTGTTGTAGGTGGTTGAAAATAGCTGAGGAGTAGCCGTTGGCACTAGGTCTGCCATTTTCTTTGTATCTTTCTTTGAGCGGTCGACTTGTCTCTCCGATGTAGGTGTTGTTACAATTGGGCTCCTCACATATATGAGTCTGTAGATAAGATTAGCCTTGGTACCTTTTTGAGGTCGGTCCTTAGGGTGTACCAATCTTTGGCTGAAGGTTGAATCTGCACAAAGTGTCATCTACGTATCGAAACCAGTTGGCCGGGGGGGGGGGGGGGTCGATTGAAAGTGCTGAGGGCTTTGTTTTCAAACTTCTCCATGTACAGGTTTACAACAATTGGTGAAACTGGTGATCCCATAGCACAGCCGTGCATTTTTTGATTAAGTATGTACATCCTAAGCAGAGTTCTAGTAGCTCACAAACTTGGTCAACGGATAGGTCGGTTCTATCTGCAAGTGTATCGTCGGCTTCCAAGGCTTCCCGGACTACTGGCACTGCTTCCTTAGGTGGTATGGAGGTGAAAAGTGAGCACACGTCATACGAAGTGATGGTTTCATCATCCTCTACATGAATGTCTTTGATTTTGTTGACAAAGTCGGCACTATTCTGTACATGGTGCTGAGATTTCTCTACTAGTGGTCCCAAAATCTTGGCTAGAAAACCTGCTAACTCATAGGTGACAGAGCCTTAATTACTGGAGACTATGGGTCGCAGAGGGACACTTTGGATTGAGTTTTAGGTAGGTGGCGCGATCCAGAACTCCTTCAGTTTGCAATTTCTTGAGAGCTGAACTGATTTTCCCTTTAAACTTGTTAGTGGGGTCCTTTTTCAAGGGCATGTAGGTGTCTTTGTCTCCTAATAGGCCCTGTACCTTCCTGTCGTACTACTCCCTGTCTAAGACTACTGTGTATCTGCCCTTGTCTGCAGGAAGAATCAATATGTCTCGATTGGTGGTCGAATCTTTGAGAGCGGTTCGTTCTTCCCGTGTGATGTTACAGGCAGGGGGTTTGGAGGCTTTCAGGGTGGTAGCTACTTTGGTGCGCAAGGCTTCAGCTTGTCTCTGTGGTAAACGTGCCCGATGAATTGCTGACTCGTTTTCTGTGACAATACCAATGTTAGGAATCTTATCGGGTGTAACTGCGAAATTTAGACCTTTAGAAAGCAGTGATTTCTCTGGTTCTGTGAGAGTATGGCTACTTATCTTCAACTTACAAACTGGCAGGATAGATAAAGGATTACGCAAATCTTTTAGTTTCTTTTATAAATGATTGAACATATAGTAAAAGTTTTAGTTGCCTTCAACGAGAAGGCTATGAAATCGGTTTCGGCCTGTTTTGTAGATTATGCACGGTAAAGTTTGAAGGCATGGTCCGAGGTTCACGATTTTTGGCAGGCAGGTTGATTTGGGGGTGGCCATTGTCAAGGCTAAAAATGGGCTTCGTGGGGGGTTCCTAAGTCACTGTAGTTGACCTTGGTTTTTGGTGTTTTTCCTTGTCATCAAGATATCTCGAGTATCCTTAAATGGATGTTCATGATATTTAGTGGGCAAGTTACCGTTGAGAATGCCGAGGTCAAGTTCAAAGATGGGCCCCCTGGGGGTTTCTATGTCACTTGCAGTTGACCTTTGTTTTTTGTGTTTTTCTTGTCATCAAGATATCTCGAGTATCCTTAAATGGATGTTCATGATTTTTAGTGGGCAAGTTACCATTGAAAATACCAAGGTCAAGTTCGGATATGGGCCTCGTGGGGGGTTCCCATGTCATTGAATTTGACCTTTTGTGGTGGTCGTTATTGTTGTTAGCGGGATAATTCGAGAATCTGCAAATGGATGTTCACGATTTTTTGCGAGCAAGTTACCGTTGACGATAGCAAGATCAAGTTCGGAAATGGGCGTCGTGGGAGGTCCGTACGTTACTGCAGTAACACTGGTCGCTTTAAATTTAGAAAACACACCAGCAACCCCAAGTATGAAATTCCAGGCAGTTAGCATTATGGAATTATTACATTTTCTCATTAATTATGCAAATTAAGTATTAATTTACATAATCAATATCTGCCTGTGTTTCTCTCGTTCTCAATTACATGTCACAAGCTTGAATAGTCCTACAATGTAATGCAGCTGATGTATAGAATTTCTCCATTAATTATGCAAATTACATCCAGATTTGCATTATTGCCGCATAATTATACCGACCATCACGTAAGCTACCTACATACCAAAAATCACGACGATCCGTCCACCGGTTCTTGAGTTATCCTCTTTTGAATATTTTCAAACAGATAGACCTGCAGTTCCTGAGCAAGCCGCTAGGGGGCCCAAGCTCACGCCACTTCTTCCCCAGCAAAAGAGCTACCTACCATCCAGATTTCGTCACCCCAGCATGTGTAGATCATGAGATATCAAAACTGGAAGTTCAGCTGCAGTACCACAACAAGCCGCTAGGGGGTCCAAAGTCTAATCATTTCCAGGTCCCATCAAGACCTACCCACCTACCAAATATCAAGATAATCCACCTAAGCTTTCTCAAGTTATGCTGTTGACAGACTATAGGCTATCAAAAACCCATCTGTAAATCCTCAAATACACAAAAGGGAGATAAATCCCCAAGCCATCGCTAATACACGCAGCTAATAGCAGGTAACAAGATCACAAGTTTTTAAAGGCTAATAACAGGTCAAACCATGAAAAATGTCAGACTTTTTGGCCATATTTTACAAATATACATTCTTCTGTCCTTCTTACCAGAAAACTGGGCCTTTCTGAGCATAATTTGCACAAGAAAAAAAATTATCTAAAAAAGAAGTACCAAAATAAATCGTCGGTGTACACACTGCTAGTATGGCAATTACACATGAGCCGCAAGAGGCCCTCTTTTGGCTCACTGTGCCCCACCGCAGTACTCAGGTCAAAATAAGCGTATACGTCCGACAATCGCCCGAACGCCGAAACTTCCCTGCCTGATCCTGTCAGTAATAAACAGGCTTTCATCTCAAATCCTTTTTAGATCAGGTCTGAGGGATGAAAGGGATTTTATGGTGGACCTAAACTCACGCTGTTCGGACACAATCATTTTTTGTCGGGACTCTTTTAGAGACTACACGTGCGGAGTAATTTTCTTTCTTGAGGAACATGCACTAAACGGTGCACACCCCAGTTCTTGCGCGACCTCCGCGATAGTCCGTTGTAAAAAAGTGACGAAAGGGTTTTGAGGGTCCAAGTTTGAGGTGACATTTCTAATAAACTGCCACGAAGTATCATTAAACTTTAACATGGCTGAAGAGTGTAAGAAATGGTGATTTTGGGTGAAATTCTTTTGGCTCGAACCTTACTTCCGGGTATCCTTGCGCGACCAAGTGTAATCCGCCCGTTTGACCTAGATTTCGCTCTGCGGCTTCGTAGGGGTGGATTTGCAACCCCTCGCGCCGTGGACTGTTTAGAAAATTACAGTACTAGAATTTTCTTTATAATTTACTCGGGTATAGTCAAGGCTTGGGTCTTTCTGCAAGCATCAGTCATTTCTGCCGGAAATTTTTTTTTGTGGGATTATCCTACGCGAAAATTCGCAATTTTGGGCATTAATTTTGGAGTGAAAATAATGTTTTTTTCCGTTGATTTTACCAAACTTAAAAGAGTTGAAGAAACCAAACTCAGCTTGTCTTGTAGCTGAAGAGATATCCTTTCGTCCCATATACAGTTATTCTCCTTCCGAATTATTCCACGCCAGAGACGGTCGATAGATTTGAGGGTGTGCAGCTTCGAATAGAGGCCCCAAATAAATTGGGGTGTGCCCCCTAAAACGCTGTTTTCCACGATTGCATAGCCACATTTAGTGAAAATATGATTGCCACAATTCAAAGAACCTTTGGGGAAAATATATATCTATTTGCGGATTTATGGCATTTTTCCACATAATTTTACGTTCGTTCAAGGACCTGTATAATGTCCTTGTTCGATAACCCGGAAGTGTAAGCCACGTAACCTTCGGCGTGACGGCCCGGTGCTCTCTATACATGTTTCCGAGCAGATCGAGGTCCGTCCCGGCAAGAAGCTTTCATCACACGGTGATAGAATGTCCTTGGTCCTGGTGATGTCCCGTACTTTAGCATACACCACTTTACTACTCGCAAAACTTGCGTTCGATTGTATCTAATTTAAAACGTCAGGAACAACTAATATCTCACCACGTCCGCCCGCCAATGATACCAGTGCCTTGTTGAAAACAAATCTTTCATCGACACCGAACACCCCCTCTGTGGAACACCCCTCTGTGACAAAAAAGTGGACCAATCTCATAATACCACAAACACACCAAAGGTCAACCCGGGCGACCATTTTCAGACTCAAACTGAGTCAAAGGGGTGTCCGGGGGCCGCCAATAAAATTCATTTTCACGCCCGAAAAAACATATACAATAAGAACAAAAGAACGTGCACCATCTACAGCCCAATAGCAGAACGTATACCGAGTCCCAATTACAGTACATCCGTCCACCCCAACGCGATATACAACTGCGATCATTTTTCTTTGGTCCTGACGAAAACTACGATAATCATCTTCAAAAAGCCTACACTATACATACACACAACACCCACGAAAGCAATATCACACTGTCGAAGGCATGAGCCCTCCGAACTCTAGTTTTTTAATGCAATAGCAATAACTAAGACATTATCAGAAAGATCATTGAGGTTGTGACAAGTCCTACCAGTTTTCTTAAATTGCTGAAGAGGGAGGTATTGTCTATCTGGGGCATTACGAAAAAAATTATGCTGAATATTTTGAAAATGATGACCACAGGTGTATGCAGGACTTGTTACCAGACAACGTGTACACAAATTAAGTCTAGAGACAAAAACGAGTGAGAAGAGCGGAAGTGTACCAAGGACCTACTAGTATGCTGAAATATAAAGCAGGTGTAGGTCGTACAGCTTGATTGTCTGTCTTGATGACAAGTAGATGGACAGGACTTTATGAGAAAAATGATTGGATTTGAGGGGCCCCTGGTGGCTTGTTATGGTACTGCACCTGAACTTCCGGCTTTTATATCCCAAGGTCTGGGCATCCCATCCCCATAGCAGCCTGTTGCAGAACTACAGGTGTATTTTATTTTAATGTTCAGACGGGAATAACTCAAGAACCACTCGACGAAAACCGCGATTGCCCTTTTGTTGATATCTTTAGAGATGTTCGACATAATCAACTAACAATTATGCAAATCATTATTGAATTTGTATAATCAATTAGAAATTTTTATTAATACGTATGTTATGTAGTAATGTTTATGAAAATGAGGGCCTCATTTGCATAAGCAATTAGGAAAAGCCATTATTACATTATTATAACTCCTGGAAATCTTATATTCGTCGTGACCATCATTTACCATAACTTCAAACCAGGAAATCATGTACATAATTAATGAAAAAGTAACGCTCTATTTCATAAAGAAAATAAGACTGTCATAGAGCTCGTGAAGCATGTAGTAAACTAATATAATCCATGCAAAATAGGATCTCGTTTTTTTACTCAATAAAGGCGAAGGTATGAGATCTCGGAACTCTAGTTATGATTGCAGCACTCACAGAGACCTTTTTGTTGTGCCGGTCTCCAATGTATAGCGTGGCACTGTATAAACGTTTACAATTACGACCCGATCTGGACCCGATTCTCAAAGCGCAGATCAATCAATCAATCAATCAATCTTTATTCAAACAACTAGCAGACGACAGTCTGAATTGAGTTGTTTTTACAGTTCGTAAAATTGACGTTAAACAACACTAATGGTTTAAAAATTACATAATTTACAATATAATGACACAAATTCGGTAGAGAGCTATAATAATGCCTATTTACACTTAGTAGAGGTAAAGGTCAATGCTAGCCGCACTCAGTCACTCAATGCCCTCTTAAGTAAAAGCAGGGAAGAACTGCATTTAACTAGCGTTTAACAGCTCAACAATGTAGGGAATGGGCGATTGAATGTAGATAGAAATGACCTGGATTTTCTATATAGATACCGATGTTACTCTAGATGTCTTAGATGCACCACCGCATCTATGATATAGAAAAAGAATTGCAGCCGATCCGCTGTGTTTCAATCTCCGTCTCTATGTAACCGCGTAATTACCTGCAATGGTCGCCACGCGGAATTTGTCAGTTATTGTTTATTGACATGTTCTTAAAACTCGGTATTATCCCATACCACATTTCGAGCAACCGTTGTGCTACTTACTACCATCACCTAGATAATATTAACGGTAGCTCTTTTACTATCCAAAGATTAAACGTGTAGTTGATCTCTCAGTGTCTGATTATTGATCACCGTAGTTACAATTTATGGCTGGTTTAGTCGTTTGCATTTTTCTTATAAACGGTCTTGCAAGCGATATGTGATCTGTCTCATTTTCGTCCCTCAAAGGGACTAAGCTATATGTGTGGGGTGATCATCTCTTTAACTCACATATGTGAAGAAATCGCTACAATTTCTGTAAATTTTCAGATGCAGGGTTGGTAGTTTTAACACATTTTTTAATGAAAGAATTGTACTGGTATATACACAGTCGTTTCTGTTTTAAAGGGATTACCTGTAAGTCTATTTCCTGGCCGTCCGACCTCGCCAGCATTACATGTACACCAAACGTAGCAGGGCCTCCTGTGTGGGGAACTAGATGCCAGTACACCTGTCTGCCAGGGTACCATATTGTAGGAGGAAACACGCGTACATGTGAGCATGCCGGTGGAAGTACAGGGTGGTTACCTACTACAAGTGTCCAGTGTGAAGGTAAGCTATTGAAAAAGATTGACTTACTGTTTACCGATGCTCCTAACCTTGTCAAATCTACATCTGTACTCTCGCCGCTGTCTGGCTGTCACCATTGCCCCATTATAGCCAGTTTTGATTTTGCTATCAAAATACCTCGACCGTATGTTCGCACTGTGTGGGATTTTTCAAAAATTGACTATGATATTCTTGTTGAGTCTTGTACTGATATCAAATGGTTAAACATATTTAATTGTGATTCTGTTGACAGTGCTTGCAATATGCTAATTGATCTTATCCTGGAGACCAAAAGAAAATGTATCCCCCACAAAAACATCATTATCAGACCCAGTGACAAGCCTTGGATGTCACCTCGAATTAAAAGACTTATGCGTGTAAGAGATAGAACTCATAAAAAAGCCAAATTATCAAACAGCCCTCTACTTTGGGCTTCCTACCGCAAGATAAGAAATCTACTGGTAAAAGAAATAGCTACGGCCAAATCAGACTATAAGACTCGTTTAATGAATTCTTTGGTGAACTCTTCTACAGGTTGTAAAACATGGTGGCATATAGTAAAAACTATCTACAGATGCAAAGCGTCAACTACCATCCCCCCACTTAAGTGTGACAACCTTTATATAAGTGATACAAGAGAGAAGGCTTCAGTATTCAACAAATATTTTTCACAACAGTCAACAATTGATGATACCAATTCCAGATTACCAAATCTTGACTACTTGACTGATGCACGATTGTTTAACTGTGAAACTACGGCCACTGAAGTTGAATTGTATATTTCTGAGTTGGATATTTCAAAGGCGTATGGCTGGGATGAAATTGACAACCGTTTCTTAAAGCTTATTAGTCCATATATCTCTGATAAAATAGCCTATATTTTTAACCTGTCGTTTTGTCACGGAATTTTCCCGGAAATCTGGAAGAGAGCTAATGTTGTGCCTATTTTTAAAAAAAGGTGATCCTTGCTTAGTTTCCAACTACCGCCCCGTTTCGTTGTTACCTGGCCTGTCAAAAATTTTAGAAAAAATAGCCTATAAACATTTATATAACCACTTAATATCTGAAAATTTGTTATACTCGTACCAATCAGGATTTATTAAGGGTGACTCAACTGTAAATCAACTTGCTTTCATTTCTGACAAAATTCTTCAATCCTTTGATTTAAACAAAGAAGTTAGAGCTGTTTATTTGGACTTCTCCAAAGCGTTTGACAAAGTCTGGCACAAGGGTTTAATTCTTAAGTTACAACGAAATGGGGTGGAAGGTCCTCTTTTGAACTGGATTCAAAGTTATTTAAATGCGAGAAAACAACGTGTTATAATAGAAGGCCAAAACTCCGACTGGTCTGAGATTAGTGCAGGTGTGCCCCAGGGCTCTGTGCTTGGGCCACTGTTATTTCTAGTGTATATTAATGACATGGTTGAAGGACTTGAAACCCACCCCTTTTGTTTGCTGACGACAGTTCGTTGCTAGATGTTGTAGAAAGTCCTACCCTTTCAGCTCTGAGACTCAATTCCGACCTTTCTAAGATACAATCATGGACAACTATGTGGCTAATGGAATTAAATGCTTCGAAAACAATTGAAATGTGCTACTCCAAGAAAACGAACCCTCTTCCCCACCCACCCCTTTTTATAGGAAACGAACAAATTAAATCTGTCTCTTCTCACAAACATATTGGGGTTCATCTCTCGTCCACCATGTCCTGGACCACACATATATCCAATTTACTAGCCAATGCCTCTAAAAAAGTTTCCACTTTTAGTAAACTTAAATTCAAACTTCCCCGAAAAGTTTTAGAAATTTTTTACAAGTCTTTCATTCGGCCCTCACTCGAATATGGCGGCGTTGTTTGGCACAGTTGTACTTCTATAGATTCACAACGTATTGAACGAATGCAATATGAGTGTGCCTTAACTGTAGCCGGAGCGATCAGGGGGTCCTCTTATAAGTCTCTACTTACTGAACTGGGATGGGAACAAATGTCTGATCGCCGCCATGTTCAGTCTCTTATTTTATTCTATAAAATCATCTACGGTCACACTTGACAATACTTAAGAGATTTAATACCGCCCCTAGTATCAGACTCCTCTACTTACGACCTTCGTAATAAACTAAATCTTCAGTTGCCAAAATGTACCACAACCCGCTTTAAAAATCATTCATTCCCTATGCAACGTATCACTGGAACAACCTTACCTTAGCAGACCGTTCACTGAGTTTCCCACGCTTTAAGAAAAAAATGATCAAATCTGTGCGCCCTGTCCCTGTTTCATACTTCAGTATAGGTCCCCGGTACACCTGCGCTCTTCTCACTCGTTTTCGACTTGGTACTCATAGTTTATGCTCTAATCTGTACTCTCGAAACCTGGTATCTAGTTCTGCTTGTACTTGTGGCCACCCCTGTGAAAGTATTCATCATTATCTTCTGCACTGCCCAAAGTTTACTCAATATCGTGTCTCCCTCTTCAGCAATTTAACCAAACTTGTAGGATTTGCCATCAACATCCAAAACCTTCCCGATAATCTCCTAGTACAATTACTGCTTAGAGGTTCCTCTTCTCTGTCGGTTTCTAACAACGCTAAACTCTTACAATGTGTTCAATTGTTTATAAAAGAAACGGAAAGATTTGAGTAACCATCAATTTCTTATCCTACCAGTTTGTTGATTGACTTGGAATGCCTACTTACTCACTTATCATTTACCTGCATATACTGTTATATATTTGATACATATTATATGATTTAGTTATAATGCGGCTTACTTTAGTCTACCTTATTACTCTTATGCTTTGCATGTCTGTATTTGTGACTACATGTATATATTTTTGTAACGATGACGACACAAACATAAGCATTGTAAATTGAGTGTGTCGTCATCCTGTCTTGTTACTAAATGTTATAATAAATAAAAAAAGTAAAAAAAAGAAAATATAGTTATTGGTACGGCGATGGCCAAACGTCCTCTTGTGTGTTGGCCTTTTCTAAGCCTTTCAAGTCGCCGGTTTCAATTATTGGTGTATTTTACAAGAAAAAGTATTTCTATAACGATGTTATACATTGTAAAAAGAAACAAGTACGTTCTGAGCTTTAAGATTTTTCTATCGTGTATTGTTCCTAAACTATATGAAGAGTTGGCATTGATACATCTGCACTTTTTCATTGTTCATTTATTATTTCCTTTTATTCGTTTTCGTTTTTTTTTTCTGTTGCATGTCTTAAAATGTCGTCTTATCTTTTAAAGACGTCAGCCATTTAATATATTCGAATCTATAAAGTGTGTTTACTGCTATAATGTTCACTGCTTTGGTCAATTCAAGTTAGTTCAGTTCAACACAACGGGCTAAGTTTAAGTGATTATGCGCTTACTAACTGATTATATATTGCTCTCCCAATCCCCAGAGGACACCTGCGATGTCATTCTAGCGCCACCACATGGCACTGTAACCTGCACTAATGAGAACAAGTACCGCAGTATCTGCCAAGTAGAGTGCGATGTGGGGTATCTTCCTGAAGACCCCAACAAAATATCAGCAGTATGCCAAGCTGGTGGTGCATGGGACCGGGGAAACCAGGACCGGGAATACCCGTTGACCACATGCAAAGGTATTTCAACGAAACACGCCACATCTAAAGTTATAGTAAGGCAATTTATCTGAGAGGACGATTGGATGACCTTGTCAAACTTTACTGTTAAAAACTGTATTATTAGATGGTTTCCATTACATTTTTTTCTCAATCCCCGAAATACCGCTTTGTAAGACGCTATCTATCTATTCTATCCCGTTGCGTAAAAAATCGATGACAAATTAGAAAAGGAAGTTGCGTTTTAACATACATTTGCTTACATTATTTAAGTATGCATTGCTCGTTTTCCAAATCACAGACTTTCAACCGCCGGTTTTTGTCAGCTGCCCAGAAGATGTCATGGTCTTTGCAGAAAGAAACAAAGAAACGGCAGAAGCTTTCTGGGAGGAACCAATCGCGATGGATAAAGTAGACAATACCCTAGAAGTGCCTGCGACTGTCCTGCTTAGTGAAGGTAGTCCACCGGGATCCACCTTCACTCGAGGACAACATCTGATCAAGTATACTGCAACGGATGTCTCCTCAAATGAAGCAACGTGTTCTTTCAGCGTTATTGTACAAGGTACATAGTAATGACAAAGGTTGATTAGCATTTCGTCTTAACATACAAAACCAAAATAAGGGTTAAACTGCTTTAGATATATATTTTGCGAACGCCTGAGTAGCAAGACTTTTATGTAGCTTGGACAATTCTAGTATTTTTTTGTTCTATCATTTATATCTCGACGAGTAGACATCTGTTTTCTGGGAGGAATTGTAATTAATAGCTAATCAGAGACAAGCCTGGGCGTCCATTCAATGATGACTTTAACTAAACAGATCTTATTTTGGCACACCAAGCAACATTGATAAACACAACAGGTCACACGGCATCGGGTGTCACTGACTTGTTAATTCCTTACCTTTTTGCAGCTTAATTATAATTCTGGCTTCGTAACACAAAACAGCTAAAAGAAGTTCCAATACTGTACATTTCTTACATAATCACCACAAACAACAAACATATAATCTATTCACCGTCATTTTTAATACCAACCTTGTTGTTAGTTTTGTATGTTACTCACGCTCGTAGTTCACTAATTAAGAAACTTTTTTTTCTTTCAGTTATCACATGCCCTCCTATCAGATACACATTGAAAGCAGAGCTTTCCTGTCCAAATGGGTATGTATACGGCTCATCGTGCAGTTTTGGGTGTGAGACAGGCTACCCGGTGGTCGGACCCACTTCATTTTCCTGTGAGAGAAACTACAGCAACAGTGAACCAGTAGGGTACTGGGATTGGGGATCAAGTGGATCTCAACCTTTTTGTCAAAGTAAGATATAGATCAGTTTGCAATTCTCAAATTTTACATTTATCTAAAGGGCAACCATCCTTTTCATTTGGAATACATATTGACCATATACTTTTATCAACTAGAATATTTGTATTTACATGTCCCATCGTCCTCATCCCATCGTATTCATTAAATAAAAAAACTTATGCATTTGTACTGACTCTCTATATATGTATATTACTATTTATATATAGTTGTACCGTGCCCTACACTTCGACCACCGAACAATGGAGCCCTGGCCTGTGACGGGTGGGCGTATGGAACATTCTGCCTAATCCAGTGTAATGAGAACTGGGACGTTCCTCTGGGCACTCCGGAAAGATACGTGTGTGAAACCCTGTCGGGAACATGGGATCCTGACGATGACGTTCCCGACTGTGCATGTAAGTAGTGTTGCAGACAACGAGTTTTCTCTGAAGATTTTACATGCATGAATTTCTACTTACATACAAAAACATTGTTATCTTATCAAAACATGTCTACAGGTTCGCAGAAAACATAACAAAATGTTTTTATTTTTCCTTTGCTCAGTGCCCCGAGATCCGGACAGCATGAACCTACCGTCAGAGCTGTATTACTACTCAGGGGACTGCAGGGACCCGGAGACTCAAGTACAGATTCAAGAGAACTTCATCGCGATTTTAAACAGTTCCGACTATAGTGACATATGTCAACTGTTTGTAGAATGCGCTGCTGAAAACGTGCAGGTAATTTGTGGTAACGTCACTACGCGCTCAGGTCAGCCGTCGTTCCAACTGCAAGTCACGTTTGACTTAACTGTCAAAATCAAACAACAAACAGACCAGCACGCTAGTTATTTTGAGGTAGAAGATACCCTTTTTGCAATGGCAAATAAGATCGACGAACGGGTAAAGGGCGGTAACTTCTCCTTAGATAACGTAACGGCCATTGATCTTGAAGTGCAGCCTGACTCTTTCGTTACCGACGATTGGACGAATCTTGTCTGCGGGCCAGGATACATGCCTAACTATGACTCCTACATGTGCGGTAAGTGTTGAGCATCATTATTATTCCTTTTTTTTTTTATTGCATGCATTGAATTTTTAGCCATATGTCATTTTAACACGTGACGTAATGATAACAATCAGAATTTTACATTGTCATATTTGAAAACATATGTTTTTTGCATAAGTTAAAGGCTATCTGTGTAATGATAATTCGTAAGGCAAAGCAAGAATGTCAGCGCAGGCTGCGTGAAATGCGGAACCTCTGGTGGCAAGAAAAAGCAAAAGAGATCCAGTCCTATGCTGACAACAGAGACCTCCGGCGTTTTTACGCTGCAACAAAGGAAATCTTTGGCCCTCGTCGTGGATGTACAAACACCCTCCAGGCTGCCGACGGGACAACCACTCTTACAGAAGATCAGGCTATCCTTCAAAGGTGGCAAGAACATTTTCAGACCCTTCTGAATCGTCCGTCCACTGCATCAGACGACCTGCTCTGCAAGGTTCCCCAACACCCCTGTAAGGCATTGGATGTCAGTCCCTCCCTCCTACGCTGAGTTTCAAAAGGCTCTGAAGCTCATGGAAGCAGGGAAGTCCCCCGGGACCCCGACAAAATCCCCCTGGAACTCATATCCCAGGGGGGTCAGCCGTGAAGACTAGGCTATTTACACTGATCCTGCGCATGTGGGAGACGAAAGCTGTACCTGCAGACCTGAAGGACGCCACCATTATTACCATCTTCAAGAAGGGGGATCGCTCTGTCTGCGGAAATTACCGCGGCATATCCCTCCTTAGCATTGCCGGAAAGATCTTCGCACGGGTTCTGCTTGACAGACTCCTGACTGTTGCTGAGGAGGTCCTCCCAGAGTCACAGTGTGGATTTCGGCCATCTCGTGGCACCACCGACATGATTTTCTGTGCCCGCTTGCTTCAGGAGAAGTCCCGTGAACAACGTCGACCTCTCCTCTTCATCTTCTGGGACCTTGCGAAAGCATTTGATAGTGTCCCAAGACCAGCCATGTGGGCAACGCTGAGACGCTTCGGCTGCCCCGACCAGTTTACGGACCTTGTACAGGCCCTCCACGATGGAATGACCGGCCGCGTCGTGGTCAAGAACAGCATCTCAGACCCCTTCCCCATTACCACTGGCCTGAAGCAGGGCTGTGTTCTGGCCCCCACTCTCTTCTCACTTTACCTTGGGGCCATGATCTTCGAGCTCCCTGACACGGCCTCTGGTATCCAACTGCGCTGCCGAATGGACGGTGGTCTCTTTAACACCGGACGCCTCCGCGCCCGCCGTCGTACCACACCGGTTACAGTACGGGAACTACAGTATGCAGATGACAACGCAACCCCCGCAGACACAGTCACTGGTCTCCAGACTACTGTGAATCTTTTTGAGGATGCCTATTCCCGCTTTGGCCTCACCTCAAACACTGGGAAGACCAAGATCCTTGCACAGGGTGTCCCAGGTCAGCCCCCTCCAGACACCAGCAACGTTCGTCTCCATGGTGAAGTCCTCGAGACCGTGGAAGCCTTCCAGTACCTAGGGAGTTACCTGTCTAGTGACTGCACTATGCAGAAAGACATTGACAACAGAATCTGTGCTGCACACGCTGCTTTCGGAAGGATAGCCAAACGTGTATTCCTGAACCACGACCTCAGCCTTCAGACCAAGATCATGGTGTTTCAAGCCATCGTCCTCTCCACCCTCCTATATGGCTCTGAACTGTGGGTTCTGTACAGGAGTGACATAAAAAGGCTGGAGCGCTTTCAACAGCAGAAGCTCCGTGCAATCCTGAAGATAAAATGGCAAGAACGTGTCTCAAATGATTCTGTTCTTCTGCAAACCAACCTCCCCAGCATCGAGACGACTGTAGCCCGACATCGCCTCCGCTGGGCAGGGCATGTCAGAAGAATGCCGATCACTCGACTACCCCGCCAGATCCTGTTCTCTCAACTCGAATCCGGCACAAGACCGAAGGGCGCTCCCAAACATCGGTTCCATGATCAGCTAAAGGCCACGCTCCTTTGCTGCGGCATTGATCATGACAACTGGGAGACCCTCGCCGAGGACCGAACTGCGTGGCGGAGCACCGTCGCACAGGGAACAACCTACATGGAAACCCAACGACGGATGACAGCAGAGGCAAAGAGACGGAAACGACAAGAGCGGCTCCTCCTCCCGCGACCGCCACCTACTCTGACTTGCACAAAGTGCCCCCGACGTTTTCATACTTCACTAGGCCTGACCAGCCACCTAAGACATCGACACCCCCAGAACAGCTGAGGATGAGACGACACGAACCCAGAGAAAAGTATATGTCCCTCCAAGCCAGTTTCAGTTTCAATAAGTTTCTTAACTGTTATGTTTGGGCGTCCAACTCTTCTCTTACAGGTATCAGGGTTCCAGAGTAGAAGCCTACTGGCTGGTTCTTCACTACGTATTACATGACCGGCCAAGCTTAGTCGTCGACATTTGACTACTGAAGTTACATTTGGTAGCGAACCGTATAACTGTTCATTAGTAGTGTGTTTCCACCATGGTGTATTGAACACCACTCGCAACATCTTCGTGTATGTTCCGTTTAGTTTTCTAGAATGTGACATATTCATGACCCATGATCCTGACCCATACAAAAGAATTGTTTCAATACATGCCTTAAACACTTTGATCTTAGTTTGTTTTCTAATGGGCGCTTTCAAAATCTTAAAGGAGAGTTTTAATATAAGAAATAACAATTGTGTGTAACCATCAATTTTCTTACATAACGATGTGCTTTTGGATATTCAAGGAAAACAGTTAAACACCCAAACCTTTACATGTTCTTTTCAGAGGGCTGTATCAAGGGGAGTTATCTTGACAAAGACTCGTGTAAGAAGTGTGAAACCGGGCTATTCCAAGATGAAGATGGTCAAACTGCATGCAAGCCCTGTCCTAGTAGTACATGGACTGTCAAAAAAGGAAGTAGAGGAATTGAACAATGCTTGGGTTAGTAGTTGTTTATCTCCGTATAATAGCTGTAACACTAACTCTAATAAATACAAAAACAAAATACAATGTTTTAAACATCTATAATAAGTAAAACAAGGACATTTATTAACGGGCTCCGAAATATTTTATATGTTGATTTCTTTACAATGGTACGCGTGTTCCGCACTGCATTTTTAATGTTAATTGGTATATGGTAAAACCTTCGGAGCCGTATGCTAGTTTTGACGGAATTGTATGTATTTGCGCAGGAATCTGTCAACCCGGATGGTACTCGGACACAGGACTGGAGCCGTGTGCACAATGCGAGATGGGCCATTATCAGTCGATGACAGGCAAGAAAGAATGTGGCAGATGTCCCAGCGGACAAACAACAATGATTTTGGGTGCAAAGGCGATGGATGAGTGTGTAGGTAAGGCAGAGATTTATCTCAGTCAACCTTCACAAATCCTTAATAATTTGAAGATTTAAAGTAATCATTCAGATACTTTCTGAAAAAATGACTGTAACGAACACATACATATACATAACTGGCTTATGCATATGGTGTTGTGCGTTTGTGTGTTCATTTATGTGTGTGCCTGTCTGTCTATGTGTGTGTGTGTGTGTGTGTGTGTGTGTGTGTGTGTGTGTGCGTTTCTGTGTGTGTCTGTCTAGATGTGTGTGTGTGTGTTTGTTAGTGTGTGCGTGTGTGTGTGTGTGTGTGTGTGTGTGTGTGTGTGTGTGTGTGTGTGTGTGTGTGTGTGTGTGTGTGTGTGTGTGTGTGTGTGTGTGTGTGCGCGTCTGTATGTATGTGTGTGTGTGTTGTATAAGGGTATAGACTTTATTGTAAACCGATTTAAGGGTCTCTGCTGCGCTGGTTCATTTGACTATTGTACCAAGACTTTCTTCCGCTACAATTAGCAAGTCTATAACAGTTCAAGAGATAACGAGTACTATAGTATCACTGTATGAGTACTCTGACAACATTATCATTACATTATCTTGTCAGGTATAATTTGCAATTCTAGTAGCGCGAAATGCATGGGCTACTGAAATAATTACTTTCTGTTACCTTTACTTACTTATCATAGGATAAAGTTATAAAACAGAAAGTGCTGCAAATGAAGCTTGCAATCCTCACAAGCTAAGATATTAATTTCTTATTACAGGAAACGATCTGGTCTTTAACACATCTAGTCGTGTTCAACTGAAGGGAACTCCATCGGATCTACAGGGGTTAACTGTCTCCTTCTGGATCCGTCCACAAGTTAATACATCGGATGGGTCAATTCTTTATCTGCAGAGTGAATCAAACACGCTGTTTGCTGTCAGGAAATCGGATAACCTAGAATTGACTCTACCAAGGTAGATGGCATTCCAACAAATTATACTAGCAAACACATTTCTATAAAAGGCCGTTTGAATACATTAGGGATACGGAATGACTTGTTTCTAACATCATCACATATTATCTGTTAGCTCATAACGATTTAAACCAAGTACCTGAAAGTGATCTTCTGATCTTTTGGCTACCTGTATCAAGAAGCGGATCATTAATATTCATAACGTTCCAAAATGTTAAATGCTGCAAAGGTGAATAATTCTAAATTACATTCAGTTTGTTTATTCCATACTCTCTCTATAAAAGGTTAAAATCTGACACATGTTTTTTTTTTTTTGCTTATTAAACAGCGCATCGGTGTTTAGGACAGGGATATCTTTGAACGACGGCAAATGGCATAACTTTGTTGTCACCGCGCGTCCTATGGAACAAGACTGCAAAGTGTACGTCGATGGAGCCGAATCCTGGTCTCAGCAACTGCCCAATGACACAGCCACAGTCTTTCCAGCAAACATGCAGATCGTCATTGGCAACAACGGTGGAGGTAAGTTGACGATAGAGGATCGAAACTAAGATTTTAAAAGATTACTTAAAAAATATATCAAAATATTGAAATGAAGTTTATAATGATAAATTAAAAAAAAAATATATATATACACATTCAATATCACGTTCCTTACTATTGTACTAATCAAGTATGGCACCATGCGTAGAAACAAGTGTAATATTTATGTTCCTTAGCTGTATCTGTGTTGAAATGTTATTTGTCAAAGTGGCTAAAAGATCAAAATATTTTCTTTCAGGTTCTTTTGCTGGTGACATCACTGCCTTTGGTTTATGGAATGGAACTAAACCGGAGTCCACGCTTCTCCAGATGTCCCAGAGCTGCTACTTTGATGACTCAGACGCTATTATCACATGGGCAGATGTCTTGAAAAGCACCGGGGAGGATATAAAGCAGAGGATACCATCAACATGTGACGGTAAAAACGATATTTACGTGTTTAATCATTTTCGTGTACGCATTCATTATAACTGTTCTTTATTGAGCCGGTTGCTTTTAGATTTTGCTTTAGCATGAAAGTTCATTTGTGTTGGTACAAGTCATTAAGAAATGAAAACTAAACTTGAACTGCCAACACTAACTACACAGAATTGGGACTTAACCCAAATTTGTTCACTCCATCAACCTTGTTCACGGAATGGACCCGTCTACTCTTGGAACATGCGTCAGTTAGTGTTGGCAGTTAAAGTTTAGTCTTTAGTTCATAAAAAGGTTTGCTTTATTATTAGATCACAACGATTGCAATCCATCCCCATGCGGAGGTCATGCCATCGCTTGCCAAGATCAGATCGGGTCCTACAGATGTGTTTGCGAGATAGGGTTCACCGGTGTCCACTGTGAAGTCAACATCAATGACTGTCACGATGGCTCATGCAGAAACGGTGGAACATGCGTGGACGGCATTGCCAACTACACGTGTGTTTGTCCAGATGGGTTCAATGGGAAACTGTGTGAGAAAGGAATCGGTAGGTTCACATCAAAATGCCCTGTACCGTAGTTATCATTTTATCCTAAATCGGTAATGCTAGGTTTATTTGGTTTTCAAGAAAGATATTAAAACATTTTTGCACATAACGTTTTTAAAAATAGAATCATTCAGCTGCCGCTAGGTCTTTAATTTTGTTTCTGTGACTGAGCAATGGAAAGTTTAATTCACTTGATCTGGTACATTTTCGGCGTCGTAATATATTACGTTAACGTATTATAAGCTGTCGATCCTATGTTACTATTAATTTACACATGTTCTTAACCACACAGTCAATGGTGGATGGGGCGAGTGGACAGACTGGACCCCTTGTAGTGCTACATGTGGAAACGGCACACACCAGCGATGGAGACAATGCAACAACCCACCTCCTAAAGAGGACGGCAAAAACTGCGCTGGACCTTCTACGAATAGTGGAACCTGCCGTATTATGGACTGTCCGTGTATGTATACCTTAAATGAATACATTAAATCAAGTGATAAAAAGTAATGTTGCACATAGCTATAGCTTCATCTGCATAGCTACCAGTATTTATACAGCTTGGACCCCCATTAACCTAACGTTTATTATACTTGAAGGGAGATTATTTGGTATTGCCAAATACTTGCTGTTGTTCAATACTACTTTTAAAAAATACAAGTACTAATAATTACGTATTATTATTGTAAAATTGTTAACATATAAAACTTCTTACGTTATGTAATACATACAAACATTATTAACATTTAAAAACTCGTTCTTATTTCAAATCAATTATTACTGTTACTTTTAATACAGCTTGCCTAGAACTAAAACCACCATCTGGCGTCATAATGGACTGTTACCGGAATGACACAGAAGACAAGGAGTACTGCCATATTGACTGTGGCCCTGGGATGGAGTTCTCCAAACCACCATTACCACTGTATACCTGCGGACCAGAGTCACAATATAAATGGAATCACCAAACCCAGAACAACCCTAAGGCAATACTTCCAGCGTGCGCCCGTAAGTATTAGCCTTATGTTAAAACTTCATCGAAGTTAATTAAGAAATATAGTTGGCGACATTGAGCATTGCAACTTATACCCCCATTCCACTTAGACGGTGCTCTGATGGCACTCTCTCTGCAACCTGAAATTGAGCAGAGCGCGGAGAGAGCGTCAATCTAACCATTGGCAACCTTAGCGCTCTCAAAGCGACTTCGGCGCTCTCACGACGTTCTCTCCGCGCTCCGACCAATTTAAGGTCACAGAGAGAGCGCAGTGAGAGCGTCCTAGTGAAATTGTTTCCTTGCACCCTTGATGTCATAATCTAAATATGATGCAAGGTGTATATACAAGGACAAAACGTACACAATTTCGTTCTCTATTTTCCGTAATTCGTTGCTGACATTTGAGTTTTTGGTCGCGCAGAGAGCGCAGAGAGGTCGCAGTATAGTATAGCTTCCACGTGAGCACGTTTTTCGTGGAGTTCAGGGTTCTCTCTGTGCTTTGGCCAATTGTATGTCTCAGAGAGAGCGCAGTTAAGAGAGAATGGGGCCTTGAAGGTACTTTGCATTAAAACCACGTTTGCAGTGCAAGCGATGAAAGGCAAAATATGAATGAATATGTAAACTTTAACAAAACGTATGAAAAGGTGAGTTAAATGTTGATTTTTTACATGGCTGGTAAGGCACCAGAAGGATGACGGTAAGACAAAAAAGGTGTTTTTTTTTTATTTTGGTGCTGTTTCTACTAAATTATAGATTCAAGCTTGTTTGCTTTTAAACGATACCTGGTGTGTATATAGCTATACATCTGTCGACTAAGCACATTATTTGTAGCTGAGTAAAATATAACAGTGTCATAATAATAAGAAATTATGAGTGTGTGTATGAAATATGCATAAATTAGCGGCAATTTTCACCTAATTATCTTCCTCATTATCAGCCCGTGTACGGGTCGTACACACCCGCACACGTCCCCCCCCCCGGAACCTCAATTTCCCATCCAAGCCAGCCTAGCGGGGACCAATAGGCGGGCAGCATTTCGGCCACACCCACAACCCGCGCTTTAGCAAGATATGGTTGAAAAAGATGTTTATCAAGCTTGTTCAAAAGATAAATTTGTAATTGTAGCTGAGTAAAATATAACAGTGTCATTATAATAAGAAATTATGCATATGGTCAATATCGACGGCAGGCTCTATTTAGCAGAATAAGCAGGACATGTATGTTTTGCCCTTTGAGGGTGCGTTGTATACAAGATTCTTGATGTCATTTACTTTAAAAAATCTTTCTTTTTTTTTGAAGCCGGACGGTCTATTTGAAGTGAATGAAATTAAGTTAATGAGTTAAATAACATTGGAAGCCGGCCTACCATAATGTAACATGCTTGTGTTTAACAATAGATGGGCACATCCCTAAGGCATTTTCCCTTGACTACGAAATGGAATACCCGGATCTGTACTGCACATCTCCGGAGGAAAGTCAGCGCGTTGTGGAGGCCATTAAGAACAAAGGATCGCAGAATGTTCAAGACGTAGACTGTGTCCGGAAAAAGACTTGCAATGTCACGTTGGAGGTATGAATATTGAATTTAATTGTTGTTCTTTTATGTAAAACCTATGTGTTCAAGGTTAACACAGGAGTGTGTATTTGAATAAATACTTCTTATAGTGTATACTTTGGTATATGTATTGTTTAAAATTAGTAATGTCATTTTTTTTCTTTCTATAGGTTCATAACTGCGGAACTTATGAGAAGAGCATATTGCCAGCATCTCTGGGTCTAGAAATCCGTGGAGAAGTTAGTGGTACGTTCGACGTCGAAAGCATCGATGAGAATGGAAATATTACCAACGAAGGTACTTACTCCTACAATGTACGATAGTCTAGACAGCAATTATCAACAATCATTGTTTACTGCAAATCTGGTATGTCGAGCTGCAGCGTATTTTCAATTTCTACTTAATTAAATTGTGTCTCTAGGTATATCTGGAGAGATTAAAAAAATATGTCAAAATTTCAACTAGTTAGACGTGCAGGACAAACTCGTATCTGTATACAGCTAGCGCTTTGCCACTCTCCAACCAGAGGTTTGGATTTGGGGTTATTTTTTGTGTGTTTTTAGGATTTTTTATCGGGTTCCTCTTTTGCACTGGCATTTTTTTCTCACCCAACCCAACCTCTGCTGGCACTCAAACGTGACAGTGCTCCTCCCCGGGAACCATCAAATCATCATTAGGGATATCCATTTTACTGTGGTGGATTATCACACATCTAGCCAGTCAGAAAGGAATTCATTCGGCCACACACCTCCTGCTGACTGTGCCTATCCATGCGTCTGGTTCACACATCCTTGCAGAACGTGGCTGTAACGTGTTAAAGCGATTAGGTTTATGGCACATTAAAGCTTTCGACTGCCGGCAGAGGTTGGGTTGGGGGAGAAAAAAATTCTAGTGCAAAAGAGAAACCCCGATAAAAAAAGCCTAAAAACACGCCAAAAATAACCTCAAACCCAAACCTCTGCTTGGAGAGTAGCGTTTTGCCTACTCTGTTTTCCCTGGTAAAACTATTTTACACTGCACGAATATATTCCTGGCCCTTTGGGCAATAAACGCGTTAGAGGCACTATCAAGTTTGGTTTCATTGTAATGTTATTACACAGGATTTCTATTACAGCAATAAATGGTGTCACTAGATGTCAAAAAATGTCAAAAGTCCAGCTTTTCATATCTACAGCAAGACCTCAATATATTTATATACAGCTGGCATATATTGTAGCTCCGCCATTTATTCTATCTAGGACTTGAGACATTGAGCAATCTGTCCGAGACCATCGTAGACCTGGCTTCGGCAGCCGAGGAAATCAAGAACAAATCAACGTCCAATGACTTCGCTGTGGTCATTGATGGTCAGAGTTTTGAGTTAGATGCTAATGGAAGCAAGCCAAGGCTCATTCCGGATTGCCAACCGGGGATGATTATCCAAAGGATGATATGTGGTAAGTATGAATCGAATCTTTATTTGCATGTTCATGCCCATGGGGCTAAATGCATACATCAGAAAGCGATGTTACATGTACATCATTCTGAGTAACATGATACATAAGATACAAGAATAACAGAATAAGAGAATGACGTAACGTCTTAACAACTACTAGAGAATAAACTAAACTAAGCCTTAAGGATTTCTTAAAGCAATTGGAGTTAAACTCACAAAGTTTTTCTATTGTATGGTCATTACTGGAGGACATGAGATGACTGAATACCTCTTTCTTTGTTCTACCTTTATACAGTTTGTCTAAGTGGATTGTTCTAAATAGTGTGTCACGTTCAATATCAAACAATTTACAATCAAGTACAAAATGTATTTCATCTTCTGCACTACCAGAGTTACAAACCTTACAGAGTCTATCTTCTACAGGAGTCCGGTTGTGTCTGCCGGTTTCTATGTGTAAATTATGGTCACTAATTCGTAGTTTTGACATGGTCCGGCGATGCTCGGGATTTGGGATACTTTGGTATTTTTCGTTATCATATGTAACTTTGAACAGTTTGTATGTTCTTAATTTGTTGCCTTGGTTGTTTCCTCGGCCGTTTGAATTTAATTCAGAATAGAATTTCTGTATAAAAATATCTTGTAGTCTTTTCTTAAAATCAAGTGAATAAGCAGACAAGTTCAGACTGTTGTTTGTAAATAGAAAGGCGTAACCGGACTCCTCTAACATTTTTCTTACATTAGACAGCCAGCAGGGTACATGTTGTCGATCTAAGTCTTTTTGGACGATAAAAGCTTCATATTGCAAACTATTTGTATCTACGTTACTAACTAATCTACAGTAATAATTATAAAGTCTGCCATAAGCTTCTATCCATAGGGGGAAACGGCCGAGCTCAGCTCTGCTGGCAAGATTACTGGCATTTCTTTTCACTCCCAGAATAAATTTACAAAATTTTAAGTGTGCAAGTTCTATAGGGGAGCTGTCGTTCAAATTACTACTACACCAGACATCCGCACCGTACAACAATATTGGGGCAATACTTGAATCAAATAGTTTACAGTATATAGGAATTGAAGATTTAGTATCACCAAGAGTAGTTCTGATACTAAACAGCGCTCTCAGGGCCTTTTTTTGTAATACTTTCATGGCGGGGTTAAAGCTACATCCCGCTGTAAATACAACCCCAAGGTAAGAATATGATGGTACTATCTCTATAGTACTTCCTGAAAGCTGAAATTTTAGGTTTGAAAATATTTGACCTTTTTTGTTGAATATTACAATCTTCGTTTTTTTAAGGTTGATAGATAATTTCCATTTTTGACAGTACTGCCCAAGAATATCAATCGCTTGTTGTAATCCCTGTTGACTTTCTGACAACACCACGATGTCATCTGCATAAAATAAGCTTGTCACTTTTGAAGAATTCAACACAGGAGCATCTAAGTATTCTGTGTTTAGATGGTTTATGGCATCACTTATATACATGTTAAATAAGCAGGGGCTGAGCACGCAGCCCTGCCGGACACCAATTTCAACGGGGAAACTTTCAGTTAAACCTGCGCTAGTTTTTACCTGCGCTTCTGATTGGCTGTATAAACTTTTGATTATGTTGAAAAAATTTCCAGAAATATTATTAGATAGAAGTTTGTAGAACAAACCTTCATGCCAGATTGAATCAAATGCCTTGGAAAGGTCAACAAAACAAGCAACAAGAGTTCCGAGATCTCATACCTCCATGAAATATGGGCTTGCTTTGTCATACATTTCAACATGTCCTCATTAATTATGCAAATGACCTCCACATTAACATAATATGTGCATAGTGGTGTTAACCTTTAAGTAACTTATACATGTCAAGGTATGAAAGTCCCATCATTCACCAATAAGGAGTCACAGAATTTTCACATTAATTATGCAAATTAGGACATCATTTGCATAATTGGTATCTGTTGATGTTCCGCCTGCCACAGATTAAATAGATTACATGTATAAAAGAACTATTACATAAAACACTGTAATTATAGCATTTTCTCATTAATTATGCAAATTAAGTCCTGATTTGCATAATTTTCATCTAATTATGTACAACTCTCTCTCACCTACCTACACACCAAAAATGATGAAAATACGTTGTGCCTATCTGGACTTATTGGCTTTTAAAGATTTCGCCAGAAAGTGCCCTGCAGTTCCAGAACAAGCTGCTAGGGGAACCAAATTCACACCACTTATTCCTGACAGGAAAAGCTATCTGTCACCAAAAAGTCAAGACCATAGCATGTTAAGAACAAAAGATACAAAAACCAGAAGATCTGCTGCAGTACCAAGGTCATCCACCAGGAGGCCCATATTTGACCTTGACCTTCGTCTTCCTAAGACTTATCAGCATACCAAATATCATCACAATCCATAAAGGCGTTATGAAGTTATGCTGACTACAAAGTTGCGGAAACACACACAGACACACAGACACACACACACACAGACAGACACACAGACAGACGCCGCCAAAAACAATACCTCCATTTTTCATGGAGGTAAAAAGACGTTTTCCACCTAATGTGTATTTTGAAATCAGTGTTTTTAATATGAAAATATTGTCGGATGTTCTGTAATTCTTGCGAAAGCCTGTCTGGTTTGGTTTTATGATTTCCCTGTTTTCTAGGAATGCCGTTAGTCTTTTATTAAGCACAGAGGTGAAAAGTTTCCCCAGGCAGCTAGAAATGGCGATTTCCCTATAATTATTGGCATTGTCTTTTTGTCCAGACTGAAATATTGGAACTATATGACTTTTGGACCACGTTTTAGGAAATTCTCCCCTTGTTAGAGTTAGATTAAATAGTTTAACCAAGGGGGACAATAGGATTTGTTTCCCAGCTTTCAGCATTTCATTAATGATCATGTCCTCTCCACTGGCTTTGTTATTTTTCAAACAATGTATTGCAATGCTTATTTCTGATGAGGTGATCGGGTAGTCTAGAGGTCCGGGATTAGACTCGCATTTCTGTAACAAGTCTAATTTATTTAGAACATCATCTTCAAAGGTTGTATCGAAAGTTTGGCGTTTTAATTTGGATTTGCTGTGAAGAGCTCTAAAATGTTCTAGCCAAGAGTCAGTAGGTATGTCTTCTTTATGAGACACATTTTCCGTCTTAAGTTCTTTAAGTAGATTCCAGAAAGCTGTGGGGTTATTTTCGTGTAGATTTTGAAGTCGCATTAAGCAGTTGTTTTCGTGTTCTCGTTTACGTTTTCTAATAAGTTTATTGAATTCCTTCTTCTTCTTAAAATAACTGCCTCTTCAGGATGGATTCTTTGGATTTTGCATGAGTAAATATCTTAAGTTTTCAAGTTCATTTCTAGCCTCATAGCATGTCTTGTCAAACCATTTCTTATTCTTTTTCAATCCTTTTCGTTTCTTATAGCTTTTAACTTGTAATGACCTTTTCCCTGTCATTTGCAATATTACTTGGAAGTCATCAATTTCTTCATCTATTTCCCGATGTGTTAGAGTGTCATTTTGTTTTAGAGATAAGACGTTTTGTAGTTTTTGTGAGATTATTGGGCTACTTAAGGCTTCTGTAAATTTTTCTTTCGAGCCTGGCCCCCAGACAAACCTGTCTGGCAGGGGGTATGACTTGGTTTTTTGTATTTTCTCGTTTTTGGTCGGGACCGGTAACGCATTTATGTTTAAAGAAATGATGCAGTGATCTGAAAGCACTGTTAGTGGATGAACTTTAAATATATTTGTGTAGTGAAAGAGGGTACTGGTTCCGATGACGTAATCTACTGTGCTACATCCGTTAGGTTGGTAACACGTGTATCGGCCATTCAAGTCACCCAAAACTCGTCCATTGAGTATACGGAGGTCGGATTGGGCGCACAATTCGGTTAGGTTTTTGCCAAATGAGTTAGGTGGGGTTTTATCGGATAAGTTTCTAGGGATGTCAAGGTAAGAATTGTGCGTTATCACTTCATACTGTGACCCTCTTGGGTCATCATTTGTAAAGTCTTGTAAGTGACCAAGTCTACTGTTAAAATCCCCCCCCCCGAGTATGATGTATCCCTTTGAGCTAAAATGTGCTACATCCTGTTCCAGAATATCAAATATAGATTCAGCTGTTCTTTTGTGAATGGTAGAATACACTGGACTAATATAAATACTACAAATGAATACATCGTTCTACAACCCAAATAACTATTTCGATATTCGGACCCAGAGTAAGTCTGTACATTCAGAAGTGCCACCCTCTTTTTTTATGAATTTTGCAAATTTGTTTTTGAAGTAAAAAATTATTCCATCCGAATTTTCTTCTGGCTTTCTGTTGTTTTTGTCTAATGGAAGAAATGTGTTGAAAGTTAGGGATGTCGACTTCTGATGATTCTTTACTCCAGGTTTCAATAAGAGAGAAGAAATCCAACTTATCTATGCAACGTTTAAACTCCCTATCCTCTAATTTACTAGTATTTAACCCATGGATGTTCCAAAATCCTATGTTTAACGAGCTTTTAGCATACGCTTGTATCATATGAAATAGCATAGATTAAATTCCTACTTTTGCGATAAAACGAGTGCTTTTATGTGAAGAATATTCACTTTCTAATAATATCAAGTATTTTGGAACACAGAAAGAAAAGACTTTCTTGTGACTTTCTTATGAACTTTCTTGTGACTTTTCAATGAAAGACAATCACTATTAAGAACCACATGTTCTTTTGTCTTAAACCAAACATTTTAAGAAAGTTAACTGAAGTTACTTCTACATATATAATCGTGTAGTTTCTATCTATTGTCATTTTTATCACCGCAAAGCATGAAACTTGTTTTCAAGTACAAGTAATACCTTAAAATTAGATGTTGTTTATATTAAAAAGCTTGATGTTTTAAGCGAGGTATATATGGTACATATCTTCTGTTCTGTTGTTTAACAATATACATGTATGTTCAGAATACCACCTTATGTTGTTTATATATGCTTAAAACCATACGTAATTGTGGTGTATTAATATATTACTGAATACAACGCAGTGTATTCCTCATTGTTTGTCTCACATTTATACTCATTTTGTGTTAGACTACCTATTACTTCTTGACTTGCAATTCGCCATCGGGCAATTAGCCCTAGGGCTCAAAATTGTAATAAGCTATTACTGCTGTTACTCACTTTTTTTAGTGTACTGCGCGCCTGGAACGTACTACCAAGATAGGACGTGCGTAAGGTGCCCCAAAGGCACGTTCCAAGACCAGGAAGGACAGATGTCTTGTGTGTCTTGCCCAGAAGGTTTTACAACGGCGGGAGTGGGGTCTAACAATAACTCCGACTGCTACGGTACGTTAGCAAGAATGACGTGGCGCTGACACAGTCATGATAATCAAAGTTAAATTCTTTAGTTTCAATCGTTCAATTCTGGCTAAAAGCATTGATATTGAACTATAGATTATTCGACTTTAAAAGAAAAGGAAGACGGAAGAAGCACAGATTGGATTGTTGACATGTAATAGAGAAATTCGTGTTATGCTAAAAAATATGGAAATTGTACCAAACTCAACTGACCGATGGGAATATTTAATGTTCAGCCATCTTTTCGTACGTTATACTACAGTACCCTGAAAGTTTCTTAAAATGACTGTCGAAAACGTGTCAACATAGTGAATCTGTTGTCCGCCCTATGTGCTTAAAAAACATAGTTCATATAATGTTACGTTTAGCGTACAAGAGCAAACCTTGCTTGCTATAAAGGTTGTCTGTTAAAAAAAAGTGACCGTTTACTTTACTTTTCTAGAAGAACCAATGACAACACAGGCTGAACAATCTTCCACCATGATGACAGATGGTATAGATTACTCTTCACCGATCCTGTCAACGTTAAGTGCCTCGTCATTAGTCCCTAATGTCGCTGGAAACATGGAGGAAAACAACGGTAATTAAACTAAGGTCACAGGAATGTGACGTTTCATCCACACATCTCACATGTTAAAAAGAACACTCATCGGATTATATTGTTTAATAGTATCATTTCTGTGAAATTATCAAATGATGACCAAACGATTCAACCAATTCAGTCTGCTTATTGTTTAGCTGATTAGTCGCATAGAATAATGGGTGACATAGAAACATTGTGGCGTTTAATGTTCTAAAATGTAAATGACTTAATCTTTGTTAAAACATATTTAAATCAATCAAACAAAATGAAACAAGTAGTGGTAAATTGCGTATCCAAAGTGTTAACACATTTTAGATGAATACCATCTAACCTAACTATGTTTTTAAAGCGTAGATGGCTCTCTAAACATCACGACTATTGCCATCGCTGTTGTTGTCTCCACAATACTACTGACTGTCGCCATTGGCGTTGGAGCATTCTTGTGTAAGCGTAAACGGTAAGTGTCCAATGTAGCAATCGTCATGTTATAAACATGCAATTTTGTATTTTGAATCACCTTAGATTTAGGAACGGTAAGGACGAAAAAGACCAGGCAGCTAAATAACTAGGCACAAGTTAACATTCTCACTTCTTTTGATAAAACCATTTTTAGCCACCAGATGGCTGAAACAACTATGGCCCATACCTTTATGAAATATTTGAAGTCAGTTTTATTCTTTTTATTTCTTTTTTTCAGGAAACGCAAGGCCAAGATAGCAGCCGAGTCAAGCTTTGAACTATACCGCCGCTCCAGTTCGAACACAAGTGACAACGAGTCCAAACCTCCCTTGACTCCTTTCTAAGCTGAACGATAACAACTCACAAAAACGTCGCAAACGCAAAACGCTTAGTACAGGAAATTCAAAAAAGGGTTTTGCTTCGGTGTATTAAACATTTTGTTTCTAAATTTAACAAACTCTTATCACCCTCCCGAGCAGGGTCAGTGGCGCGGCCCAAAAGAAACTACAACCACGAGACCCTGCCAAAACAGTTCGGTTTTGGCACTCCGGGCAAGGTAGCCTATACATATTAATGAGCTTGCCTTATTTGGCACAAGCCAATCGGCGCCAGGATCATATAAATTCAAGATGGCGGACGTCAATACATGCATTGGCACCACAGTGTCTCGGCCCGGCTCGGCTGCGTTCATACCTAAACAAGTCGCCTCCAGGCCCAGCGGGCTCAGCTTGTCACATTATAGTGTTGAGCGGACTCACTAAAATAATGACATCATATCCAGACGGACCGGCCATGGGTGCTGGACTTGGCACTCATGAGTTGAGTAGAGCGTAGCTCCGTCGCTGCCAAGTGCTCGATCTGGCTGCGGCTTGAAAGCACAAGTAATATAGGCTATTCCCTTCGCCTGTCCTAAGGAACACGTTTCGGCCATCAAGTAGTTCCTGTGGCGTGATTTTCTAGTGTTCATGAGCTGTTTGACGCCAAAAATGTCTTGCATGGCTGACACAACGTAATGAACATTACCAAACCGCCATTTTACATGAAACCCAAAGACGCTATGTACCGTAAGGCGTAACATGATTCCTGGTGACCTTTGCCCTTAGCTTCGCACAACTGAAAGCTATTTCTCTGAATGACTGACAGCTGGTTATAGGCTACGTCACCAGGAGTGCCAAAACCGAACTGTTTTGGCAGGGTCTAGTGGCGGTAGGTTCTTTTGGGCCGCGCCACTGACCCTGCTCGGGAGGGTGACCTTACGTGTATATAGTAATCAACTCAACCACAATCATTCTCATGATGGGTCTAGAGCTAACATGATATAGGATTATAACCGCTCGGAAGCCGAAGGGAACTATGCCATAGTTGCATTAAGTCGATCGGTGTAATATAGCCAGCTGCTGCCGCGCCGCGTGCCTGCGAAGCTGGTGTGTTACGCCGAAAGGCGGTTATACCGGCTATATACAGATACAGATATGTCTAGTTACTAATATAAAGTGATGACAAGTATCCATAGCTTTAGCACAATGGCTACACATACACCAAATCAACATCTCATTTATGAATTATGAAAACCCTACCTTGAAGCAACAAATTTTAAGAAATAATGTTTCATAATCCAGTTTAGCATTCCCAGAATAATTGATTAGACTGACATTATAGACAAATCAATCTGTGTCCTACTGACTCCTACATAATCGACTTGATTTTCCTGCAGAAAGGTCAATTAAATTGTTAAAGTGACTCATGGCAAACTTTTTAGCTAATCGTGATACACTATTAATGCTGAATTACGTTTAATAAAGCTAGAGCACTGTATATAGAACTTTACTGTAGGACCTGTGCCTAAACGTCTATACCGGCACCTGTACCTGATGTTACTTTTAGTATGCAGTCCTAGTTTAAGGTATAAGGATATCGAGAAATTAACAACATGTGCACTCTTTATATCGAGGAACAATACACAAACGAATATCTTACGCACCTAAATGCCTGGTGTCCGACTCTTTCTTGCAAAGTAGACTTTACTACTTAAGTAGATTCGTGAACGAAAATACATACAAGGACCCCACCCCATACTATCTATCTACCCATGTTCCCATCCGCCAAAGGCCACGGCCGTTCAACTACCGTTTTCAAACAGCGTACATCCTGCCTACCCGGCGGCGATTCAAATAACTGTGTATGTATGTATGCATGTATGTATGAATTAATGGATGAATTTATGAATGAATGGATGAATTTATGAAACTATTTTCGTGTCGTGCACTTTCCCGCGCCCAGCCCGTGCGGGCTTATACGACACCGTTTGAGTATTAGTAATACCTAAACACAAGAGAATCAAAGGTACGGATAACAGAATCCAAACAAAATATGAACACAAAAAAGGTAGGCTATATACAATAATGGTGAACAGAGTGAACTCATAACAGATGATAAATGCAAATAAACAAGTCTGTACATAATGCATCAAGATTTCACCAAAAAAGTACATAAGATAAATCAAAAATAACAAGAGAAAACGTGCAGAAGTAACAAAAAGTCGATGAAGGTTAGACATACAGGTAATGCAATACGCTAAAAACCAGTTACTCAAGCAACTGGATATAATTTTAAAACAAGGTTTCAGATTTCCAAAATCATATCCAGTTGGCCCCGCATCTCAACAGACAATTGACTTATAACTTGCCTGTCTGTCTCCATGCTACTTACAATTATTTACTTCCGATCTATTCTTAAACAACAATTTTGTTGACAGTTAGGCTACAAATAACCATTGCTGACTATTTGTTAGTTTTAAAAATGATCTAAAACCCGTTATTAAAAAGATTGGATTATACGGAACTATAAACAAGAAGCCATAGGTGACAATTCTCCGTGAAGTATTATATATTACAACAAAAAGAAGTAGCCATTGGCGACAATTCTCTTTGAAGTGTGATAAATCGAACAAAGAAAAATTGTTTAAACGCGCGTCGGCTCAGTCATCTTAAGACGCAACAACCAATCAGAGATGCGAAATGCCGACACGTGACGCGGGATTTGCATACAGTCTAAACAACGGGGAAGGGCGCGCGATGCCCGAAACATTTTGCGTCAATATTCAGCGCCGTGTTTCAAGAGATTAATACCGGGAAACAATTTCTTTTCTTGTTTTGAACGCATAAACATGCATTTACGCTAATCTAGTATGATTCATGGTTACTTTTTTTTTTACCTGCCATGGCCAGATTATCTAAAGATGTGTGTATTGTGTGTACAATCTACAGAAAGAGAAATGTACATCAGGTCCGATCATCCGATTTTCACGTTTCGGTTTTTTGGACTCGGCTCATGAACGTATTTTTGTTTGGCTCCTGGAATATGCGAATGTGCGAAAAAAAATTACTCCCGTGACTGTCTACAGGAAACACTCGCATATTGCCCAACATTCGCGGTGTATCAGGACAGCGCGACTGGCCAAGCAACCAGTCGGCATTAGCGCAGTCCCTGTAATTAGTAACAGTTGCACATCTATCCGGCCGAAAGCATGATTGTGTAACACAGGCTACTTCTTCATATACCGGCTCATACTACACGACGCCTTTACAACTAGCAAATCATAAAATTACCCGATATACTAGTACTGTATGTGCGGTTTACCAGCCCCAGACCACATCCGACCACGAGGCAGAACACATTGATGGGTTTGTAAGAAACCAGGAGGAGACAGTAGAAACAGATACTGTTACAGGTTGCTCAAAAATATTGTCCATGTTTATAAAGAGCTGCTCCACTAACACTATGGAGCGGCCCAACCCAAAAATATTGGCTATGTGTCGTTGCTAGGACGACCGGCCAGTTGCTACGTGACTAAATACACGCCGCCACTAGGTCGCCACACCCGACCAGTTTGAAATCGATAGGATTACGTCATCGGTATTAACATTTCCTAATGTTGACCTCTGACCACCCCACATTTCCGTCCCCATCAGCCCCGCCGCGACTTACTACCGGTGACATAAACGGACGACAACATTTCAACGACATGGGGATGTTTCGAAAATAACCATTTACTCCAATATCAAAACAGCTACGGTAAAAATAAAAAGACGTGCATCATCCCGGACATGATGCCACACCACATGCGAAATTACACAAAAATGCGACGTACGGAAGAATGCGTTTTGGCTGCGAACATCTTCCAAAAAACTTGGCATCTCTTAACCATGGGCAAAAACATCTGGAACCACTTATCAAAACCACCCCGTATCTGCATGAAGTTCCACCCCCCCACTGCTATTCCAAAAAACGCGATTTTCTGGACCATTCCAATTCGCCTCGTAATTGTAGGGGTGCGTCTGCAATATTACATTGACCGCGAAAGCAGCAGCGGCAAAAATACACATTCGTGCATCAACACGGGCATGCCCGCAGACGGCGTATAAAATTGCGTGCCGATTACACAAAGAGAACCCAGTGTTTTGACTACGAACACGAAAAATCAGCCGATCACAACACTCCGTCCGGAGGTCCTGACCTCCTTCATGGAGTAATAATTCAAATAATATTAGAGTCATTAGAAGGCAAATCCTAAATATATAGCACAATTAATAAGTTTTTAACACAATTAATATATTTCTTTTCTGTCCGCCCCGTAGTCGCAGCCCAGGAGAGTCGTACTATTTGGGAACGATTACGTCATCATCAGTCCCCCCGCCTGCTGATGTGCGCCGCCATATCGTCCGTTGCCATGGTAACACTGCTGATCGTGATTCCTGTACTTCTGACGCACCTCAACTCCCGACCTGGCAACACTGACTCTGTAAGTTGACTGATTTATTTCGTTTTTTTTTACAAAAATCGTAAAAAAAGGAAAAAAGAAACAATGGTTGTGAAATGGTAAAAAATGCGAACTACAGCCACATGAAATAGAGAAAACTATGATTTTGATTGTCCATATATATGTGTCCTGATAACAAATTTATCTTAAAAAATGATGGCACAAGCAGCTTTGCTTACTTATCATTTTACAGCAGACTACAACCAGCGCAGAACATAACATGACTGTCAGTACTGCCTGGCAAAGTTCTTCTGTATCGTTGATGACTGACGAAGTAATGACCTTGATGACATCTGCTGACGTCAACAAGGTCAGTACTTGTCAGCGTTCTTTGGGCTTGGAAATGTGCTCATTCGGCAGAATTCCAGCCATGCATATAGTGGCCATAAAACAGTTGGTGTCTAAACAGCTAGCATATACTGGACCCAGTACATATTTTATTAAACTTGTAGATGAACTGTAATTTTTGTCGTTTGCCGATGGCTTTAACTAGCATTGTTTTTTTACTACTGCACAGTTGGCTACAAGCACAGGCACTGCTGTGCTGACGAGGACTGACCAGGTGACATCGGCTGACGTCATCAAGGTCAGTACTTTCCTCCGTTTTTTTTGAGGGGGGGTCGGTTCTCGAAGAGCATAATTCCAGCCAAGGTAGACATAAAACAGGTGACTATTTATTTATCTATTTTAATTTTATTTTTATTTATTTGAAGCAAGTCGGTTGTTCCATCAGCTCTAACACTGGTTTAGTAATAAATTAGCATTATTGGGGTCATATGTCTAGCGGATATACAGAAACTCATCGAAAAAGGATACCTTGTTAAAAGTTACATAAAACAATAGATAAGAAACCAAACAAACAAACACAAATCAGTGTCCAAACTAAAATAAATTGTTTCAGGTAAATGAAATTCGGTAAGAGATAACAGGTTACAGTCATTTTTGGGCGGTTGCAGAGTATATCCTAACAAAATCACGTATAGCAGATGTATATAGCTTTCAGTGAGCTATCGCTTCTTGAAAATGCGTTGTTCTTTGTGTCAATGGACTTTTCATGTAACTCTGTCCTATCAAGTCTTTTTAATAGCATACCGTTACTGTAAATCAGATGTGGCAGAATGTAATTAAGATTATAGGATGTTACAGATTTCTAGATTGCACGTACGATGGTTGCTTTGTTTGTAAGTTTGGCCCATTCTAACCGTTTAGATGACTCCTGACCACGGACGTGGCGTCACTGCGGGGATGGAAGCAGCAGGACCTGCACCAACCGACAAGCCGGTGTCAACCACCACAAAAGGTTTGTAATGATATCTCAGGAATGCCTTTGTATTTACTTAGCACCGTTGGAACCAAACATGAATTCGTCCTCCACTCTATCCTCCATCAGAGACTAGGTTTTTAGGCTGGTGTCTGATCTGAGGTCTATGAAGTTGATCCTATAGGTTTCCCTCGACTTCTTTTGGCTTTCTTGTGGGGTTACCAAAGGGCAGGCTTGGATGCTACGTATACAATGACAGAATGTCTAAGGTCATAGCAAGTAATTTTAATGGATGACATGAGCGCGCGCATTAATTTTCGCCTGATTTTGGAGGGAAAAAGCACATTTTGTTTGCATGCCTTCTGATAGTGGTCAACATGCAAGAAAAATGGACGAAGATGTTACCATGACGGAACGTGCATGTCAGATAAATATGGAGAGGAGACAAGAAAAGGCTCTGATTTATTGTTTTGTTCTTTACTTTGATGCAGTGATGCGTGATGATGGCTGTACATATGTGGCGTTCCCACTGAATCAAAACCATTTGTACAATGATTGAGTCAAAATTTGTAGGAACCTTGTTTTTTCGGCCCGTTTTTTTCCGCGCGCATTAGATTTTGAGTCTGCAGAGGATGTCATCCATAAAATTTACATGCTGTGGCCTAACGGTGCATTCATATATATTGTATTAAAAGTGGGGGTGTTATAAGTAAGACAAAAGGAGACGTAGGCCAAAGTCATTAAGGGAAAATATGGATTTTGTGAAAGAAATTAGAGCATTAATTTTGCGCCCACAGATCAGGCCAACAAGAAACAGGTCATCACCTTTGGTGATAAGTCGGGGCCTGGAAAACTGCAGAGAGCACGTGGAGTGGCAGTTTCCCCCGACAACAAGATCTGGGTGGCCGATCGTGCCCAACCGCGTCTCCAAGTGTACAGCATGGGCGGCGCTCATCTGTACCACTTCCCACAAGGCTCAGCCGGGCTGGGGTACTCATCCAAGGAGCCACAGGATGTGTCCATCGACAGAGATGGTCATCTGTGGGTCTTGATGAGTGGGTATCCTACCAGCTCTGATGCCGTGGCACAGTTCGACAGGAAAGGTCATCTCAGAGCCAACTTCGACCTTCCAGGAACTGTGCCACGGATTGCACCCCGCGGGATGGCTGTGGGCTTGCGCAACAACCACGTTTTCGTCACCTGGTCTGGCGGTTACAGTGGTGGCGTACAAGCCTTCCAGCCTGACGGGAAATGCCTGTGGGAAGTCGGTCCCCAGCAGCGGATGATGACACCCATGAACGTCGCCGTTAACGGGGATGGAAACATCTTCGTCTCCGACTTTAACACTCACTTCATCTACATCTATGATGAGAACGGACAGTTCGTGAAGATGTTCGGAGGTCCAGGACGGAGTGATAGCAACCTGAGTCACCCACAAGGCATCGGTGCGGACAGTTCCGGTCACATCATGGTGGTGGACGATAGTAACCAGCGCGTGGTGGTGTACACAGACCGGGGTGAGTATGTCCGCCACATCGCTGTCCATGTCAAACTCCCAACAAGGGTTGCAGTGGGGCCGGGAGGACAGTTGGTTGTGATCAATTATAACACAATCACTGTCTTCCCCCGCTACTGATAATAATGCACAAGCACGGTGGTAAAATCTGGACTGCAAAGTTCCCACATTCCATAGAACCCGAACTGTGTTCGATCGTGTTCGATCTGGGCAATTCGAATCGAACCCGCGTTCCATTTCGGGGTCACCTGCGGTCATTTACAATAAAGCGGCAAAACAAGCCCTTCTGCATGAGTGCCTCGCAACAGATAAAAAACAACACTTTTCTATAGATTCAAACAGTTTCATGGACAGCACATGTCCGCTATAATTTTTGGTGGGTATGTCGTATTCTTGGGTGACCTTGAATACTGTAATGATTCTTTACGCCTGTATGAATAACACAATGCACACTTTCTGGCGATATGACATGTCTGCAAAACTCGTTCAAACCTGGAAGCATGGAGAGTCAATCATACCCCATTTACGGCTCAAAATGACCGTAACGGTTGTCCCGATAATCGTGTTTTAGGGATTTTTGAAAAATGGCCTCAATTTTGAACTATGGGTAATTTAGTGGGAAAAATGTCAAAAATTGCAATTTTTTCACCAATATGTCGACAAAAACTAGACTTAAAATCAGAAATTTAAAAATTCCTAAAACACGATTTTTGATCTTATTCCTAGTCAGCAAAAAATATAAAAATCGAGGATCTGGGGTAATATACGTAGCCAGGTTTGAACGATGTTTGCCTAAAAACGTGACATGACTTGTGCTCGGAAACCCGTAAATAATCGTCTTTCTGAGCGAAATCTTAAAAAATCAGAGATTTAGCATAAAAAGCTAACATTTAAAGGACGTTGGGACGATAATTTCATTTTAATTTGACGAAATTGACTACTTAATACTATTTGTTTATTTTCACATGTTTTACCGCTAGTCCAAAACAGGCCAAAATAGCGTCTTGTAACCCGATACTTTTTAGAACGCGCCGGGCAATGGGAAAGAATGCTGTAGTGACAGACCGCCGTGAAGCATAGCTCTTGTATAATAACGGTTTTGGCAAAGTTTATAACTGTATAATTTATTGGTCCTGTGCTATGCATTTCAGTAGTAACTGCAGCATAATGGCATGTTGAATTTTCTAATTCCATTATGGGCAAAGAAAGGTCAGCAAAGAAAAAAAAATGTCAACTTTCTTCCGATTCCATGATAAAGAAATATTTGCCTTCAGTTTTACGTAGATGGTGATCTGCATTGTTGTCTTATCTTAGCCTTCAAAGGGAAACTAACTCTAGAAACGGAGCTATTGCTATAATTTTTTGCTGAAATTAAACCAAGAACATATGTATACCATTTTATACCTCTTTTTGTCATTCATTTCAGAAGATGCCCTTTAGAAAAGTAGAGGAGATTTTAATAAATCTAATGCTGATGTTAAAATTGTTAGAATTTTTTGCCAACACGTGAGCTGAACCTGTAATAAATGTTTTATTGGGACAAGAGGATTCTTTTTCTTTGGGGGGAAGGGCAGTATTACCTCCATGAAAAATGGAGGTATTGTTTTTAGCGTGTCAGTCTGTCTGTCTGTCTGTCTGTGTGTTTGTGTTACCGCACATTTGCGGCCAGCATAACTTTTGAACCTTTGGATGGATTGTAATGATATTTGGTATGTGGGTAGGTGTTGAGTTGCCAAATGTCTAGGTCGCTTTTGGGCCTTCTGGTAACTGAGCTTGATACTGCAGCAGAACTTCCGGTTTTAGTATCTTTTGTCCTGGACATGCTATGTCTTGATTTTTAAGTGGTGGATAGCTCTTCCTGCAAGTAATGATTGGTATGGGTTTGGTCCCCCTAGCAGCTTGTTCTGGAACTGCAGGGTGGTTTATGGTGAAACATTTTAGAGCAGATAAATTCACAAAGAAACAATATATTTTTTTTGGTATGTGGGTAGCTTAGACAGAGATCCGCGTTATTGGATGCAAATTATTTATATGATGACTTCATTTGCATAATTAACGAGAAAAAAGTGTAATTCCAGTGTTTTATATCATGGGACTTTGATACATGTAACGATTATAATCTATGGCAGTTCGAATATCATCAGATACCAATTATGCAAATACGGACCTAACTTGCATAATTTATCTGAAAATTCTATGACGCCTCACCGGTAAATGATGGGAATTTATTACTTGGGAGTTGTGTAAGTTAACATCACGATGCATATATTATGTTAATGTAGAAGTCATTTTAATAATTGAAGAAGAAATTTACATTTACATGTGAGGCCCAATGTTCATGGAGGTATGAGATCTCGGAACTCTTGTTTATGAAATGTATTGTATAGGTGGTGTTTGTCTTTTTGTATTTGATGAAGTTCCTATTCATCTTCCTGCTAAAAGAGAAAAGATAAAAAGCAAACATTTACTTCATGTTTACATTCTAGAAAGATATTTCTGTCCACTCTCTACAACATTCTTATGTTTGTATAAATTTGATCTATTCGTAATATAGAATACATGCAGATGGTGGCCGATTTTGCGAATGTAATTACAAAACACGGTGGTAAAATCTGGGCTGCAAAGTTCCCACATTTCATAGAATCCGAACAGTGTTCGATCGTGTTTGATCTGGGCAATTCGAATCGAACCCGCGTTCCATTTCGGGGTCACCTGCGGTCATTTGAAATAAAGCGGCAAAACAAGCCCTTCCGCCTGAGTGCCTCGCAACAGATAAAAAACAACACTTTTCTATAGATACAAACAGTTTCAAGGACAGTACATGTCCGCTATCATTTTTTTGTGGAAATGTAACATGTAGGGAAGCTACTGTCGTATCCTTGGGTAACATTGAATACTGTAATGATTCTTTACACCTTTATAAATAACACGGTGCACAATTTTGGGAGATATGACATGTCTGCAAAAGTCGTTCAAACCTGGAAGCATGGAGCGGCAAACATGCCCCATTTACGGCTCAAAATGACTGCCACGGTTGTCCCGAAAATCGTGCTTTAGGGATTTTTGACAAATGCTCTTGATTTTGAATTATGGGTAATTAAGTGCGAAAAAAGCAAAAAAAATCGATTTTTTCATCTATTTGTCGACAAAAACTATACTTTACGTCAGAAATTTAAAAAAAAATCCCAAAAACACGATTTTTCATCTTATTCCTGGTCGTCGAAAAATATAAAAATCAGTTACCTTGCGTAATATGTGTAGCCAGGTTTGCTCGGTGATTGGCTAAAATATGGCGCACCGAAATTCCATAAATTATCGACTTTTTAAACGAAATCCGAAAAAAATAATCCTTTTAGCGCAAAAAATCAGCATTGAATGTATGTAAAGACGATAATTTTATTTTATTTCAACGAAATTTTCTCTTCGGTGCTAGTTTGTTTATTTTCCAATGTTTTACGGTTAGCCCAAAATAGCGTCTTGTAACCCGATACTTTATCAAACGCCCCCAGGAATGGGAAAGAATGCCGTAGTGACAGACCGCCGTGAAAATATGTACCATTATGATAGTTTTATTGTCACTGTGTGTATGCTTTGATATATTGACATTTAAGATTTACTAAGTAGCCTTGGTCTGATCCAGAGTTACCAGTAACGTTACAAGTAGTCCACATTGTGACATGTAGTAATCTTTCAGCCTAATCTTTTGTATATCTGTTTTACATTGATATGTTAAGCTTACCAGTTAATTTGAAACAAGGAGACCAAGATGTTTTTGAGCATTGCTGAGTTCTTGTTGATTTCAGTCGTTATTCATTTATTTAAATTCCGTACATTGATACAATGTCACATTCATTGACTTGGCTCCGACTCTTTAATAGCCATCTATGAGGAAGTATTCTCAAAACTTTAACTAAATACAAAGTGTGTAGTTTCAGTGCATATATTTATCACTGTTTTTCTGCATATTCTGAATTGAAGTATTCCATTACTGTTAGGGGATCAAGAGAGTTGAATTGTACATGTTAAATAGTTGATGACCAAGATATTTCAGACAGGAAACGGTTTGGTCTCTTTACCTTAAAGCCCCTGTCACACATTTTGACCCCCCCCCCACCACCACCACCACCACGTACCGGACTACCTACCAACCAAAACCAAGGTTACCTGTAGGTTGTGTCAGACCAGACTTTTCTATATATCAATTTGAATTAATTTTGAGTCAAGTTTGACAAGCACGACCACTGCCGACCTATTCCATACCACCAGCCAACCACTTACCAATCATGGCCCAACCTACCGTCTACAATTTGAAACATTCGGGTGCGCCAGCCAACCACCGCTGACCTTGCTTCCGACCGACTCCTAAACATGGTCGGGGGAGTTTAGAAATATTTAGGTCATATTTGGCTATGCATGACAGGGGCCTTACAGGTAGAGCCCTCTATAATCCTGGAGTAGTGTTATGTATATAAGATGCCATTCGTTATATCTATTCCCTGGTAGACATATGTAAACATTCTTTGAAAATAAATGTATAGTAAAGTGCTGAAATCTATGTGAAATAGTGATGGAATTAAACATTGTTACTCATTGACGGATAACTCGAAACTGTGAATTCTTTTCGTAGACAAATAAAATACTTGATTATAGACGTGAAGATTCAAAGATGGCGGACATGCTGTACCCCTTTTAGTGCCCGGGTCACAGCTTACTATTTCTTTGTTAATAAAATCGGCCAATGAAGGCCAGAAGTTGAACAGCTTCGTTCCTGAGATATCCAACAACTGTTGTACCGTTGTAAACTTAATATAAACTTACTGATGTTTTTTTGGCCATTATCTCAAACTTATTAAAGCTTTTAAAATAGCCTCAAAACAAGCTGTGAGGGTCGTGTCTTTATTTCTAGTGTAAATGAAATCTCCGACTTTTTTGTGTTTTTTATTAAGTAAATTATACATCATATCCAACACGCTCTCATCTAAATTCTTCCTTAGTCAGTCGGATGAAACCCGCCACTACAGTAGTCATCGCGGCACTGGTAACTCCTAAGAACTGGTAACCCACGTGATCCAGAACGTAGGTGCTGATTGGTGGAGAGACGACCTTCCCCAGGCTGACAAACATCGCTAATAAACCCATCACAGCGCCTGTGCAAAAGGTAGAATATGCAGTGATGTAAAAAATATGTCTGTAAGATTGAATATCACAGAAATGGTTAGCCTGGATGTAGGACTCGGGAGCTATAATAGGTTTGGTAACCAGGCTAAGAAATGGTCGGATGCACAGGGTATCAAATTATAAGAAACATGGTGAATAGACATAGTGTTCACAGTTGTTGTCTTTACGTAGAAAAAAATCCGTAGACCTCAAAATGTTCGTTTAGAATATTTTGGCAGCTGATATAAAAAATTATATCAAAAATTAAGTAGAATTAAAGTATGCGTGTTTAACCCTCAACAGTACACCTTCCCGGACTGATTAATCTGTACACCTGGGGTCCGCGCGGACCCCAGAACAGTTTTTTGCTAATTTTAGAAATTATCAACATGCTACCAGCTCAATTGTTTTGCAAACTGATGTGGGAACCTCTGTGTCCACATTACATACAAAAATCATACATTTTTGAACTTTTTCTATTTTTTTGGTGTAAGAAAAGAAGACAAGAAGAAATACCCGATTTTTAAACCCATTTCAGACTGAAGGGGCTTTTGAGGCCCAACTTTGATCTCAGATAGCGGCTAAACGGCTTGCGCTAGAAGTATCAAATTTGGAGACCTTTCCTAAAATGTCTCTGGAAAAAAGTTCATATTAGTTTAATACTAGTAAGTTGATGTTTTTTTGTGTTGCCATGGCAACGGGCCATTTTTTTGAAAATAGAAGTAATTTTGGTTTAAACATGAGTTTTATATTAAATTACACTTCTTTTCTGACATTAATAACATCTTACATAATTAAATATAAGTTAAATCATTTAATATGCATAGAATATGCTAATTTGATGACGTCATTGGTCAAAATCCAATATGGCGGACTATATTATTAGCTCTGACATCATATGACGTCATAATTACACCAAAGTTATTAAAATTTAATTCTATTACTACACCATTCTCTGAAAACTTGGTAGACATACGTTGAGTGCATAAAAACATATAAAAACGGAAATAAGGTAATGTATAAGAACGCCAGTGTATCCATTATGATCGAAAGCCAGCTGGGGTCCGCGCGGACCCCAAAAGAAAATCAGATATAATTTTTTTTATAAATGGTAGAAACGGAGTTTTCTGCATTGTATTGAGAGACAACTTTGTGGGTAACAATTACCTAAAATTTCAGAAAAAAATCTTTAGAAACAAAAAAGATATTACAGAATATATAGTGCTGGGGTCCGCGCGGACCCCAGGTGTACTGTTTAGGGTTAAGAAACACGAAGTCTAGTTCTGTGCAGTGTATGTCTGCAGTACCTGTGTCTTCCGGAGGTGACGCTTTTGACAAGGCTGACACGACGACAGTATTTGTCATGATTACTCCAAAGCTTTTGAAGACAGCAAAAACGTAGATATGCCACCTCTCCGTCATACACGTCTGTAAAACGAAGCAGTGAACACGTCAATGTACTACAAACCTTTGCTTGCATCACGTGGACTAATTTGATCATTGTTTGGATTACTTGAATTTGCGTTTTCGTGCACACATTCAATATTCCAACGCGTTCAATGCGTTTGAATGTTGGTGGAAGTGACTTAATTAGTCCCTGCAAGCAGTTTTCGTAGGCCGGAAAACATAAAGTAGCAAAAGGTTAAGTTACTGTTAGTATATCACTTTGACTTTATTGCAACTATATTACAAAACGACTTAGATAAGACATTTTGAAACATTTACTCACAGCGATCACGTAAGAAGTGGTCAACACCAGTGAAGACAGCATCATCAGGGGGAAATCCTTGTAGCGTCTGGTCAACGGACGGATCAAACCCATTTGAAGCACCTGAAAAAAACGTACCAAAAACGGTTACCAAAAACGGTTACCAAAAACGGTTACCAAAAACGGTTACCAAAAACGGTTACCAAAAATGGTTACCAAAAACGGTTACCAAAAATGGTTACCAAAAATGGTTACCAAAAATGGTTACCAAAAACGGTTACCAAAAACGGTTACCAAAAACGGTTACCAAAAACGGTTACCAAAATGTTGTAAGGCGGTCGTAGTCCACTTAACCCTACCTAGACCGGGGGGGGGGCTAAAAGTGCCCACGGCAACTTTGATGTCACCTAGCGTCTGAACGGCTAGCCGTAGAACGACCAAACTTGGTGACTTTTCTTTAAATATTGTTGGCAACAATTCTCTATCATTGGAATAAGATAATAATTTTTTTGTGTTGCCATGGCAACGGGTTTCTGACAGGCATTTTTTGCTAAATTTAGTACTTTTTGTTTCAACAATAGAATTTTATGGGTTTTATGTCAAGTTACTCATGGTTTCTAATATTAATAACATCCCATATAATTTAATGTAAATTTCATCATTAAATATGCATAATTTATGCTAATTTGATGACGTCATTGGCCAAAATCCAAGATGGCGGACCATATCATTAGAACAGGTATATACGGGTTATTTTCATTAAAATTTCATCAATACTTCCAATTCTTTTTACAAAAAGGTTTGAATGAAGGTGTTTAGTATGTTTACAATGTATTTTAGGCTTTATCATGAGAAAAACTAT